ATTTAGATACACTCATTTCAGCAACACAGACACCCACAGCACCTGCTTCCTGGGACACGCCTCCTGTTTGTATGTGGAACGTGTGTCACTGTGACAGTGAAGGCTGACCTGTCCCTCCTGGCTATCAGTCACTTCTGCCTGTTGCCTTTAAATAGACGCTCTTTAACTGGCATCTAACAGAAGGTAATACAAACTTATTTAATAAATGAATAGCAAAAGGCCACTTAGTTGAACTCTGGAGTTATGTCTAATGAAAACATCCTTGGGCCACTATGAGAAATGCTGGCCTCTGATAAAAGCGCAACAGGGGTCCTTGCTGCTACGGTCCACTTGTGCCACTGCCTGCCTCCTATGGAGCAAGGCTCAGCCTGGCCTCATCAAGCAATCCTGGATTGGCACATGCTACCAGTGTCACTGAGCACAGGACAGTACCTTCAGTTTTCTTGGGGCTGACTCCTAGCGTCCATCTTATTAGCTCAGGCTAAGGAGAATACAGACAACCCTCAGCAGGTGCTATGCTTACCCTCTCAGGAACAGGCATTCTGCCCTAAGGCCCAGACACTCACTTCTTAGCTTCCTAGAATCCCTTCTTTCACACTCTATCCTTCCCAACCACTTTTTTCTAGTTCACCTTTCAGTCTCTGCCTGATCCTTCCTGCCATTAGCCAGTGGTCACAACATACCTGGGTACCTGCTAGGCAGCTCAAGAATAGGCAGGTAGGGCCCAGCGCGGTAGCCTAGCAACTAAAGTCCTCGCCTTGCAAACACTGGGATCCCATATGTGCATCAGTTTGTGTCCCAACTGCTCCACTTCCCAGCCAGCTCCCTGCTTGTGGCCTGAGAAAGCAGTAGAGGACGGCCCAAAGCCTTGAGACCCTGCACCGGCATGGGAGACCTGGAAGAAGCTCTTGTCTCCTGGCTTCAGATCAGCTCAACTATGGCCATTGTGGCCACTTGGGGAGTGAACCAGTGGACGATCTTTCTGTCTCTTCTTCCCTCTGTGAATCTTTCCGATAAAAATAAATAAATCTTAAAAAAAAAAAAAAAGAAAAAAAGAGAAGAAAAGGAATAGAAAAGAAAAGGCAGGTAAAGACGCACTGTCTCCCGCAGCCCAGAGCATCCACGGCTCCTGAGAGGGAGAGAAAGAGAAGATGATTTTCCGTCCAGTGCTGAGCCAGTCCAAAGTCAGGAGCCAGGAGCTTCCTCCAGGTCTCCCATGCAGGTGCAGGGTCCCAAGGCTCTGGGCCGTCCTCAACTGCTTTCCCAGGCCACAGGCAGGGAGCTGGAAGGGAAGCGGGGCCTCCGGGATTAGAACCAGTGCCCATATGGGATCCTGGCGTATTCAAGACAAGGACTTTAGCCAGTAGGCTACCTCGCTGGGCCCCAGGACTTATTTTTCTAAGACACTATTTGAGGGTTCCATTGTACATCCTGCTGTGGCTTCCCACTTTCAGAAAATTCTTTCACAACAGGGGCCTGGCCAATCCCTGCCTGCCCCCTGACCCCAATTCACGGATCTCCAAATGCACACCACTATCTTTGCTGTGATGCCTTCCTACTAACCAAATTGCTTCAAAGTCTCAACAGCAGCACTTCCCTGAAAGGCTCGGCTGAGCCCTGGGTCAGGGAGACACATGCAGGGACTGTGCAGGCTGCAAGGGAAGGACCATTCGCCCTCGTCAACACACCCACTGTCACTAACACTGACACCGCCACCTTGCCCTCCTGACAGAGGAGGCGCAGGTCTGCGTTCCCAGGGAGAGCCTAGTCAGAACAATGCAGACATAAACACTGGAGAGGACACAGGCCACAGCAGCACAGCACACCCGAGGCAGTGGGGAGGAGAAATCAAGGCCACCCGACCGCGTGATGACTCTGGTATTTTAAGGAGGAGTTGGGCAATATCCTCTTGCTGAGATTGATATCGACTCTGAGAAATATTTTATTCCGTTGTAAAGTCCCAGTTAGATTCCTCTGTACAACTGGAGAAATAAAAGCCTTTGATTCAAAACTAGAATTTCCCCAGCCCTCTCAAAGGGATGGGGGAGGGGAGCAGGTGTGGCAGAATGTCTGATCTGTCATGTTCTTCAGTCACAGCCATGAACGTGCTCGGGTAAGAAAATCTGATGTTCTGATAACGTTGATAAAGTAACTTGAAGATCGGGCCACAGGAAGCCCAAGATCAATGCTGAGGGGAAACAGGCTCTTTTTGAAGTAGCCTCTTCACAATCATTTTCCCACACATTTGTTCAACTTCCGAAGGAAGACTGAATACCTGATTTGCTTTGCAAATGAAACAGCTTAAGAATAGGAAATTCAGATAATGTTACAACAAACATGTGTTTGGAAGATTCCTCCAGCTGGCATCAAGCTAAGGCTGTGGCTTTAGGTGGTGTGAACATGCCCGTGTAAGGCTCACGCTAACTGTAAGCTTAAGGTACTTGTGTACTATCTTGTTTCAAAAATGGATTCAGTGGTTTGTTAGAAAGGACTAAGACAGAAAATAACAATATAATTATTAGGACCAAAGAAGAAAGGAAGTAGCAAACAGTGACCCTGGGAGAAACAGCCTACAGGTAAGGGGGGCGTCAAATATTATAGTCCTATCAGCCAGCACAAAATCCATATTAGTTTACCTAGTTCTGATTGTCCACAAGTGGGGGGAAGAGTCCACTGGGCTAAGAGCTCTCCTGTGTCCGCGGCAGCATCCTGGCAACCCCGGTGCTAACAGGCTTCCTGATACAGGCAGACACTGGCTCCAAACCTCAGTTGGCAAGAGTTACAGAAGTTATAATTCCATCAGTCTGCTTGCACACACTTGTTGAAGGCATGACTTGAGAACTGGTTTCTATTCTCAAACACCTAATGACAGGGATAACAAAACTTCAGTGCTCTTGGTAGAAAATTTAGATGAATGAGAAGTATATTTAAAAACATCTTCCCCAAGTGTCTGCTTCACAATGACTTCTGCTTAAAAGTCCTACAGTGGTAAGAATGTTTGGGTGTGAAACAACACAAGCCTCTTTAACCACATGAAATGAAGAGGCCAAGCACAAAGAACCTGCTCATCACTTTAAGCTGCAAGTAAAAGCAAGTTCCAAGAAGACCACTACCACAGGCACTTGTTAAAAGAGTTTTATTTCTCATTTAACCATGCTGCATGGATACATACAATATTGATATATACAATTTAAGCAAATACAATTTATACATAAGATAGGACGCAAGTGTGGCTTTTGAAGTCAACGCAACAACTCATTGTTCAATTTGTAATTTTGGTTAGTACACCGCACTGCAGTAATGCTACTGAAATTATCAATGATTTATATTAGACTACAGTGTAAGTTCAAAGGCACTAGGAAGATCTATGTTTTCCTCTAGAATTAAAAAAAAAAAACAATAATTAAAAAGGAAAACAAATGCATATGTTAAGAAATTGGGCAGACACTGGCCTCATCCTTAATTCACAGCCCTGTAGGAAGGAGAGGGACTTTCCTTAAGACAAGTTAAGGGCAAAGATAAAAACAAACTAAAAAAGGCAACAAATGAACAAAAATCCCTGCGCCATAATTGTAATTTTTAAAGCATACTGCAGATAAAGTAGCACCCTCTCTTTCCCAGCACATTCAGACATTTTCTGCTGCAAAATGAAATTCTCCTTTTTCAGAACATGAATAATACAACTTGTCAAGCGGATTCTACTTACGGCGTAAACATGCCAACACAAATCCTTCTCCTCTTGACTAATCTCATATTTACAAGAATCTGGACAAAAATGGGAATAAAATTATACTTTAAAACCCTATTTGCATATATAATTATAAGGTTTATATTAAAGAACACTATAAACTGTAACATTTAACCAAAGCTTCTTTTAATAAATAAATATTACTTTTTAAATTAAGGAGAAAATACTTATTCAGTAATCACTTTAGACATACATTTAAAATATGCATATTTGCTTCACATAATGAGTAAGCTGGTTTATTTATATTCTTTCATGAAATGAATACTGAAGTTACAATTTATTTCATCTGTGGACAAACACACACTCCACGTGACATAAACCCAGCACTCCTGGAGCTGAGCTAAGTGGCCAGCTCCAAGCCAATGCCCACGTCTTCGTGTCAATGTTCAAGGCTGGCTTTCATGGTGAGTTTTATCATCTCTTAAGATAAACATTCAGTGTTCATTTGATATAATCATTGTTCAAGTACAAATGCTTACATGTTAATGCAGCCTGTTTTATGAGTTTCTCAGGATTTTGGCTTTTTACAAATTTTTTCTTATTGTGTCAAGGTAAAACAAAAGTTTAAACTACTATGTGTTAAAACAGTTCAAAAGTTATTCTTTCTCTAACTTACTTGCTAAAGATTAAAAAGCAGCAGCACTCATCTTTTTTTTTCCTATTGATAAAATTAAGATTTCTGTAATTACTAACAGTTACAGGCACACTACCAACACACTTTACATTTATCAAGTTATTCTGCACCACAAAACTCTTAAAAGACACATACATGTTCACCTCAAGTCTTCACAGTAACAAGTTAGTGCTCCACAGAGAAGTTAACTACCCTCAACTGCCCCACACCACAAAGAAGATGCCAGCAGTGAAACCCAACTCCCACGACAGAAAACACTCACCATCCACAGGCCAGCCAGCGCTCCACTTCTCCACAGGAGTTCAAATGCATGGACACTTCCATCATCACTTCATCATCTTCCACTTTCATGCCCTCCCTCAAACTTTATATCACCATCAGTAATTATAATCCAACAATTAACCAAACTGATGAGATTATATTTAAGAAATACTAATTGTGAAGTTTAAAACCTTTGCAACCAATGTATTTCAAAGCTAGTTACATATTATTACTTTTAATGTGTACAGATTTGTATTTATTGTAAAGGCAGAGGGAAGAGTGAGAGAGACATATCTCTTCCCATTCACTGATTAACTTCCCAAATGCCCAAAAGAGCCATGGCGGGGCCAGGCCAAAGCCTAGAGCCAGGAGCTTCACCCAGGTCTCCCATGTAGGTGGCAGCCAGGATTCATAGCAGCACTCCGACACGGTGAAGGCATCTACATTAGTGGTTTAACCCACAGCACCACAATGCCCACGTTTGCTCATGTAATTTTAAAACCCACAAAGTAGTTCAGGAGTACCATAAGTTTAAAAAAACCTAAAAACGCTGTAAGCAGTCAACAAAAGAACAAGTAATTCTATCTATTACAACTTATTTTACTATAACACATGATTTTTATTTTTAGAGGAATATTGTTTCACTGCATTAACCAACAGAAGAAATTAAAAGAAAATGTAATTTTTATAAAGTATAAAGAAAAATAAAACAGTGTTTCAAAGATTAAAAGATACTAATTTTGCTTGGGCACATTTTCTGGAAAATGGGGACCCTTTTCAGTTGGAAGACACAGACTCATTTCCACCAAAATTTGGAACTAGACAAAGCCAACACCCACAGGCCACACTTCAAAGTGAAGCTTTAAAAACACAAGTGGCGAGGACTAACGCTTCTTGTGTTCTACACCTCTCTTAGGTACAATTCACTGTTTCAAGAAAACATAAAATCAGAGAAACCAAGGAAGTATAGTTAAATTCAAAGTGGCAAAAAAAAAAAGTCTAGATGAAACACATTTTCACCTTTTCAAAAAATGTACACTTGCAAATATTGACTGTTGAAACATAAAATTCTCCACAACTCACTAAGACCAATTATACTTAAGATACAATCAGGACTTCCTGAAGCAGCTGGGCAGGTTAGTCTGAGGACAGTCATTTCTCAGCTGTGCAGCCCGGCATTCACATGTAGTATCATGACACAGGGCAATTCAGTCTGCTACTTTCCATGTGCAAATTAGGGCATACTTCCTAACTGCTCTGAAATTCTGGTTATCTACATATACAGTAGTTGAGCAAATTACCAGCAGATTTATATACACCTCTAAACTGCCAGTCTCCACAACACAAAGTGCCCCCAGGCTCCCCACACAATACAACCAAGAGGGGTGTGGCAACGCCAACAATCACAAGGTGTACGGTTTCAGTATGTTACATTAACTTAATATATACACAAACATCATTCACTGAATTATGATTTCCAGTCTTACATCATGATAAACAGCTTTCGCTGTTTGGAATTACACAGATGTCTTCAATGTTTTAATTAAAGATTTTGTCCAGCCATGAGAATATCATTAGTTTTTATTGTGATTTTAACTCTATAATATTTACTGTAGCAAAGAATCAATCACAGTTTCAGGCTTTGAAGAACGCTTTCTGTTTGGAGAAGAGAAAAGCAAAGTATGAAAGCTTGCTTAGAGGATGGAAATAAAACATACTAGGTAGCAGCAAACACAGGGTGGCCAGAGACAGGCTAAGGTCACACATGACTGAGACTTTGCCAGTACAGGAGGACAGTGCCCCACTACACCAGAGCCGTAACGGGCTGCCACATGTGAATCCCTTCAGCACCTCTCGTTTAAGGTACATATCAAAGTTTGTAACCCCTGACCTAAATGCTAAAGATAATGCAAAAGTGTGTATACTTTTAATATGTAACTGACTCCAGGTTCCACTATCCCCTTAAGTGTCAGGTTGTGTCTATGAAGTGATATAATAACTACATTAAGAACATACACTTCTTCCTACATGTAACCCAGAGTCCCACGGAGTCAGAGCAGCTCATTATTTTCTACCATTTCAGGAATTCCAAAGTGCTACAATCATATGGAATATCCTAAACTCCCCTTGATGCAGAAAAGGGAGGGAAGAAAACAAGCTCCAGCCCAGGGTTCCTATAATTTGATTTCTCTGGGTCTACATGATACACAGATACTACCCCAAGGCCAGTGCCTAAAGGAAAAGAAAAGATTGCCAACAAAGTTGGCTCAAGAAATCCATTTTCTGGGGTAATGCTTCTGACAGGAAAGCTACTCAGTGGGTACAATACCTTGAGAGACTAACCAGACAAACTAACTGGCATGTCACTAGAACAATTAAGAAATTCAGGAATTAAATAAGCAGGAAGGTAATCTATACATTTGGAAAGAACAGAGCAAATTAAAAATAAATTATACTACTCAAGAGGATGGAAGCAGTTAGCCAATTTAATTAACCCAAGCCATAATTTTATACGGAATCTCATTTTCATACATTAGCCAAAATATTTATCATGCTAAGTATATTTTAACTTTAAGGATACATCACAGCCCCCGCTGCACGGAGTGTAAGGGCGGTGCTCACCTCCTCCCCGTCTTCGGCCTTGCTTTGCCCTTTGACGTCCGTGGCCTTTCTAATTTCATCAAGGACTGACGCAGGCTCTCCTCAGTATAGGCAAGGTACACATGGGAAAGGTCCACTTCAAAGGGCTAAATCAAAAAAGCAAACAAGCCACTCTTACAGGAAGGAGATACACCAGATTTGGGGGGCAAATTTGGGGAAAATTCCTAGAAATACCACACAGGAAGCAAAATCTAGCAAAAGTCTAAAGGGATCTTCAAATCCCAATTCCTATAAAATGTTCAGCATGCATCAGAATTGGGGCACAATGCATAAAGCCTCCACTTGGGACATGTGCAACCCATACTGGCTTGAGCCCTGCCTTCTTCACACTTCAGGTAGAGCTCCCTGCTGATGTACCTGGGAGGCAGCAGATGATGGTTCAAGCATTGTGCACCATCCTACCCACATGGGAAAACTGGATGCAGCTCGGTGCTCTCAGCTTCGGTCTAGTCTAGTCTCGGCTGTCACACACACTGGGGAGTGAACCAGCAGATGGAAGATTTTCTCCACCCTTCCTGTCTCCTTTCTCTCCTGCCCCATCTCACTCTCTACCACTCTGCCCTTTAAGTAAACAAACAAGTCTTAAGAGTAAAAATGTAAATGCGTGCGACAAGAGGGTGGTGACTAAGAAGCCCTGACACACTATACATTTCCTTAAACGCAGAGAAAAGTGGCTGCTCTTTTCCATAAAGCCACTCACTCTTTTTGGAGACCTAGAACCAGAACCAGTTTTGAGAAAAAAGACAGACTCATTCTACTTTCTAGCCACAGTCCCATGACCGGGAAACGTGGATAAAGAGGACTGCAAAGAATGAATATATGTCCCTCTTCTGATAGAAATGATAAGTCTGCCATCGTGACTTACCCTAAAACAACTATTTCCAGAAGATTAGCTCATTTCTAAGTACAGATTATTAACAGATAAAGAGCATATTAATAATAATTTAAGAACCTATTTCTATGAAGAAGCAACTACTGTATTTTTAAAAAATACATTTTTCAAAAAGTTGTCTTACATCTTTCTCCTTTTTGTCAGGTACTGGAGTTTGCTTCCTCATGTTATTTCCTGTGTAGGCGACACATTTCTCAAAAAAGAAAAGCAGAGGGGAGAACAAGTCATAATTAGTAATCAACACTATGAACTAGGTAAACCAGAGGAGATCCTCTGAGACTACACTAGTAAGACAGGATTTGAATGCTGGAATGAAAAGGGACCCAAAAACCATTCAGTCCACTTAGTCCTTGGCCTATACTACATCTGTGGCATGCTCTGAAGGTGTGGCCAGTTAGAAAAACCTCCCACCCACACTCCTGGGTCTCATCGGTTTCACACCATGGCCATCTCATCTCCACAACACTGTGTCCACCTCGCAGGAAGGACTCCAGCAGAACTTCATGCAAGAAGGAACACTCACCAGCTGCCATTCTCCGATGTCTTCATTCCAATGGACATAATTTTCAATCATTTCCTTTAAAAAGAGTGAAAAATCATCTCAACTAATTTTTTAGTAATGAAACTAAGCATTTAGTAATGTTAAATGACAAAAGTCAAAACTTGGATCAGGCATTTTGCCCAGCAGGCAAGATGCCCATGTTCCACACCGAAGCAAGTGGGTTCACTACCCAATTCTGGCTCATCACTCGAGCTTCCTACTGGTACAGACGCTGGCAGGGGTTGGGGTGTAGGCTCAAGTCATTGGGTTCCCACAACTGAGAGTCCTGGGTGCTCCTGGATACCAGCTTCAGCTCTTGTTCAGACTGAGTAATTACAGGGTAATTACAGGTTAATTACTGGGAAGTGAGTCAGTGTGGATGGGAGTGCCTATTCCTTCTCTGTCTCATAAATAAGTATTTTTAAAAATATTAAGTACCAGGGACCAGCATTGTGGTATAATGATGTTGGGTTGCTGTCTGCAACACTGGTATTCTATATGAGCCTATCTGAATCCCAGCTGCTCTATTTCCAATACAGCTCCCTTCCAACATGCCTACAAAAGCTGCAAAGCACAGTCCAAATGCTGGGCCCCGGCCCCTTGCAGTAAACCCAAAGGAAGCTTGTGGCTCCAGGTTTCAGACTGACCCAGCCCCAGCTATTGCAGTTATTTGGGCAGCAAACCAGTGGATGGAAGATCTCTGTCTCTCCCTCTTCTCTGATTTCTGCCTTTCAAATAAATTTTTTTTTTACTTTATGATTTTTTAAATTATTATTTTATTTGATAACCTTTACATAGTTGATTGGGGCACAAAGGATCAAGGGTTACAGGAAAGTGGGTAAGACCATTGTTTCCACATTCTCTCTCTCTTTTTTTTCCTGTATCTGGGGTAAGAGGGAAGATAAGGAGAGAAGCCACAGTAAGCCTCCCACCCATCCCAGGTCCCCGATGTGGGGCATGTTCCGAGGGCACTGCTCAAGTGGTTTTGATAGTTCAACAGTTCTGAATTGCTGCCAATCTCACCATTCCAAGCACAATGAAATCTCTCCAGAATCCACTGGCTGACATAGTCCACCTCTTTTAAAAACGTTAAGTCTTAGGACAGCATTGTGGCAAAGCAGGCTAAGTTGACACTTGGGATGCCTGCATCCCATATCAGAGTTCCAGCTTGATCCCAGCCACTCCACCCCTAATCTAGCTTCCTTCTAATGCATATGGGAAGTGCTTGGGTCCCTGATGCAACAAAGGAGTCTGTTGGCTGGCCCAGGCTCAGCTGTCACATATTCAGAGGGTGACTCAGCACATGGAAGAGCTCTCCCTCTCTGTCATGGCTTATTTTAAATAAATAAATACATGATTCTTAAAAATGATACATCTCAAAATAGATATTGCATGATACTTTCAAAATGAATCTTTAAATGCACATTTCTTATATGTAGATAATACTAAGTTTTATTAAAAAAAAAAAAAACAGGAACAGGATGAGGAGTGCAGCAAAGTGAAGGAACAGGGTGGGGGAGACCATTTGGTAGAAGCGAAGTCACCCACAAGGCCCCAGCTTTTGTTTTGGGGATAATCAGCTCAAAATAAAACACTCAATACAAGCAAGCCTTCCAAGGACCCAGAAAGAAAGTGACCACAAATCCAGGATCTATTTCATGTACCTGGGGTTCAAAGCAAAAACAAAACAACACAACATAACTCAAAACAAAACAAAACAAAACAAACACCCTTAAAGTCCATTTTCAAACATACTTCTTCAAGTTACAATGAGATTTAAAATCATTTTTTAAAAATTATTTTATTAAAGCATACGAAAATGTACCAGAAAGACTTTTTTTTTTTAAATTAAAAAGATTTTTCATGCTGCCAGCACAGCAACCAGGGCAGAGGGCAGGCCTGCTGAACCAACTGGTGTACGTGAAGGCTGAGTGTATGATGGGCAGGATTGGGCTGGGCTGCAACACCCATTGGTTTGCGTAGGAGATAGGACTAGAGACACAACTGACCCATCAGCTGCAACCACCAGCACGTGCATAAGCTGATTGGGGCGACAGTCTGTATTGGATCCTGTATTGCCAAGCACAAACAAGAATCAGATCTGGGATCACCTCAGATGAAGTTTCTTTGGGGATTCCCCCAACTGAATTGCTGAACTTAGAACCCCAACCATGGAGAGAATTGCAGGTTCCACAGTCTGATCGTGGAGTGCATATGTCAGACACGGGCCTCCTCAGTGGTTTAGACAGAGCAGTGGCCAACATATCCAGGTGCGCACGGAGGACATGGCAGTACATTACAGGCTACAGAGAACACCTGGACCATAACAGAGGATGAAGGACAGAACAAACGCATCAACTACCTCAGCCAAGTGTTGGCAGTGAATATCTGGGCAAATGGAGACTCTAAGGTGGACTATGTCAACCAGTGGATTCTGGAGAGATTTCATCATGCTTGGAGTGGCAAGATTAGCAGTAATTCAGAACTGTTGAACTACTAAAACCTCTTGAGCAGGACCCTCAGAGCATGCCCCACACTGGGGACTCTAGGGTGGTGTTGGGTGGCTGTCCTCCATCCCAGGGTGCAGAAGCATTTGGGACGTTGGATGTGGTTTCTCTCCTTATCTCTCCACTTCCCCCAAATACAGGAAGGAAAAAAAGAGAATGTGGAAATGGTGATCTCACCCACCTTCCTATAGCCTTTGACCCTTATCACCCTAATCAACTATGCAAAAATCATCAAAAATTAAAAATTAAAAAAAAGATTTACAAGTTATACTGCTATTCAGAACATCTGAGATGGATGATAGCTGCTGCACAATCATGTGAATGTATTCACACTGAACTAGACACTTAAAAACAACAGGAACAGGATGAGGACACGGCAAACTTCAATGTGATGTGTATGTTTTTAACACTTATCTGTTTTTATTGGAAAGTCAGATTTACAGAGAGAAGGAGAGACAGAGACAAAGATCTTCCATCTGCTGGTTCACTTCCCAAGTGGTCACAATAGGCAGAACTGAGCCTATGTGAAGCCAGGAGCTTCTTTCGGGTCTTCCATGCAGGTGCATGGTCCCAAGGCATTGGACTGCCCTATACTGCTTTCCCAGGCCACAAGCAGGGTGCTGGATAGGAAGTGAAGCAGCTGGGATAAAAACCAGCACCCATAAGGGATCCTGGCACATTTAAGGTGAGGAATCCACACCAGGCCTGTGATGTAAATTTTACCACATATACAGAAAGCAAAAGAAAGAACCTCCAGAAGCAGGGAGAACTAACACAAGGGATCTATTTATTCTACTTGCATGATAAAGGATGCTCAACTGATGAACAGGACTGACATGAATGATGACATGATGACGTGATGATGAACTGAACGGACATGAATCTCAGTTCTTCCAAACAGCTAGGAAATTCTTCTTTAGATACTTAGATACTCAGAGTCACATATTCAAAACATCAACAACTAAATAAAATGTGATGGGATTCTAGAAAATTTTATGGCCAATTGTGAAATATAAACATTTAGCATCAGTGACCTTAGAAAATTATACTTCCTCCTTTTTAAAATTATTATTTGCAAGGCAGATTTTTCCAGAGAGAGGACAGACAGAGAAAGGTCTTCCATTTGTTGAGTTGGATAGGAAGTGGAGCAGTCAGGACACCAACTGGCACCTGCAGGCAGAGGATTAGCCTATGATGCCACCATGTCGAACCCCCTATTTCCTTGTTTCTTAACTACAGTCAACCACTAAAATCTAGGTCAGAGAATTTCTCACGTACCTGATAATCCTGAGGTATAAAATTATCAATAATAAGCATCTGAAGTCGAAGCTCTCGGCTAAGTTGTCGAATATTCTCCAATAGGCCTTCAATTTCCCTCTGATGTTCTTGCTGGAGATCCGCCATCTACAAGAAAATTTGTGAAAATACATGAACAAACAAGATGCTACGCATAAAACAGTTACACACGACAACTGAGGAAACTGATTCAAGAAGGCTCGTGAGACCTTACTCAGTTCTTTTAACAAAATTATGGTTAGAAAATGGGGTGCTGGGGCAGAGGATCTGGCGGGTCCAGGTTGTGCACCCAGTTATGAGAACCGGTTATCTCCTCAGTGGAAAAGACAGAGTAGTGGATGGCAGGCCCTGACGCACACAGAGGCCGTGGCAGCCCATGGAGACCTGCAGAGGACATCTGGTACCACAGCAGAGCAAGGAGGCAGAACAAATTGGACAACTGCCCCAGCTAAATGATGACAGCAAAAATCTGGGCAAATGGAGACTCTAAGGTCAACTATGTCAGCCAATGGACATTGGGAGGGATTCTTCTTCTATGGATCAGCAAGATCGACAGCATTCAGAACTACAAAAACCACTTTGGTATGTACCACACTGGGACCCTGGGCTGATATTGGATGGCCACTCCCCTTCTCCGGGTATGGGGAGTTTGGGAGACTGGGTATGCCTTCTCCCATTATCTTCCCCCTTCACCCCAGAAAGAGAAAGAAGAAATAGAAGATTCAGAAGTGATAATCACACCCATTTTTTCTGGACCCTGGATTCTCCCCCCAACCCTGATTAACTATGTAACCATCATCTAATTAATTTTTTTTTTTTAAAAAATGAAAGTTGGGCCTGGCAAGGTGGCACAGTGGTTAAGGTCCTCACCTTGCACGCCCGGGATCCCATATGGTCACTGGTTCTAATCCTGGCAGCCCCACTTCCCTTCCAGCTCCCTGCCTGTGGCCCAGGAAAGCAGTCGAGGACGGCCCAAGGCTTTGGGACCCTGCACCCGCATGTGGGAGACCCGGAAGAGGCTCCTGGCTTCGGATCGGCATAGCATCGGCCGTTGCGCTCACTTGGGGAGTGAATCATTGGACGGAAGATCTTCCTCTCTGTCTCTCCTCTCTGTATATCCTCCTTTCCAATAAAAATAAAAATAAATCTTCAAAAAAAAAAAAAAAGGAAAGTTACTTCCAGGACAAATTTAAAAAAAAGAAGAAGAGAAAGAAAAGAAAAAGAAAATGGCACTGGCACTGTGGTGTAGTGAACTGAGCCACGGCCTGCGGTGCCGTCATCCGACACGCGTGCTGCTTTGAGCCCTAGTTACTACACTTGGCCCATCGTCTGTTACTTTTCCCAGGCCATCAGAGTCAGACAGAAAACTGAGCAGCAGACCTTGCACCAGTGTCCAAATAGGATGCTGGCATTTCAGACAGGGGCTCTGCCAGCTATATATACCACAATAAATAAACCTGTAAAAACAACAACTTTTTAAACTTCAGAATTCTATTTGTGGGTAATTCTTACTTCCCTTTCAGAGGCAGAAAAGTGAGAGATACACACAGCAAGTGCAAGAGAGAGAGCATACTCCCTTCCTTGGCTCACTCCCCGACGCTGCAGCGGCAGCACTGGGCTGGGCTGGAATCCAACTCCAGCTTCTCCCCTGAGTGTCAGGAACCCAGTTACCTGAGCTCTGGCTGCTGCCTCCCAGCTCAGCAACAGCAGAACCTGCAGTCAGGCACCTTAATGTGGCATGAAGTTAAACAACTGCCCCACGAGTAATTTGTAAGAGAGACCAACCTCTGACTTTGCAGCCATTAGCATTGTCCACACTTTCTTTAACTTCTTGGTCTTTCCCTGTGCTTCTTCTTGCAAACTGGTATATTTTTCTTCAATATCCAAGCGTTCTTGCTATGACACAAAATGGTAATCTTCAGAATTTTTTGTGAAAACACAATTTAGTTATTTGACAAATGATATTCTTATTATTAACACCAAAGTAATCCACAAATTGGCTTTAAAATTTATTAAGATTACAACTATCTATATTTTAATTGGAAAGTTAAATAACTTAAACAAAATATTAAACTAAGAACAAAAAAGTCACATTACTTCTTTTTCCTCAAGTTCTTTGCGAAGCTGCTCTGCTCTTTTCCTTCTTTCTTCCAATTCCATGTTAGATTCTTCAAGAAGTTTTTCTTGCTCCTCAGCTTTAGCCAACAAATCAACACCACCAACAATGACCTTTTTTTCCAGTGCAGACAATTTTTCCAGCAAAGATTGATGCTCTTGTCTGCTCATTAAAATAAGAATATTTTCAGGACCAGTACTGTGGCATGGGCAGGTAACACTGCTGCGATGCAGGCATCCGAAATGAGAAACCAACTGGTGTTGTGGTTGCCCAGTTCCCAATCCAGCTAGCTTCTAATAGCCTGGAAAAAGCATTGATGATGCAACTGCTAGGGTCTCTGACACCCACATGGGAGACCAGGATGAGACTTTTGGATCCTGGCTTCAGCCTGGCCCAGTGCTAGCCACTGTGGTCATCTGGAGAGATAACAAACAGGTGAAGATCTTTCTCTCTCTTTTAAAAAATAAATAAATAGGGGGTTGGCATGGAGGCACAGTAGGCTAATCTTGCACTGGCAACAACAGCATCCCATATGAATGCTGGTTCATGTCCTGGCTGCTCCACTTCCAATCCAGTTCCCTGTTTATGGCCTCATAAAGAAGTGGAAGATGGCTCAAGTCCTTGGGCTCCTATACTCACAATGGAAAACCAAAAAAATTCCTGGCTCCCAGCTTCAGAGCTCTGGCTGTTACAGTCATTGCGGAGTGAATAAGTCAATGGAGGATCTCGTGCTCTGTCTCTCCCTCTATCTCTTTGTAACTCTTTCAAATAAAATAAATATGTAGGTCTTTTTAAAAAGAATGTTTTATATAAAAATCATATACTGTTTTTGGGATATCATCAGTTCCCAAAATTTAACAAGATTTTGAACTACAATCTCAAAACAAATACAATTATGTAACATCTTTACAAAATTATACCACTGGGTAGTGTTAATTCATGATATGATCCAATTTTACAGATTTCTTTTACTTCCACACAGATTTGAAATCATGAAAACAGAGCTAACATTGAAATACATCACATATTAGGCCAGCACTGGGGTGTAGTGTACTGTGCCGCTGGCATCCCAGATCGGAGCCATTTTGTCTCTTGGCTACTCAACTTCTGGTCCAGGAAAAGCAGCAGAGAATGGTCCAAGTGCTTGGGACTCTACACCCACATGGGAGACCTGGAACAAGCTCAGGGCACTTGGCTTCAACCTACTGCCATTTTGGTGGTGAACCAACAAATGGAAGATTACTCTCTTTGCCTCTCCCCCACCCTCTCGGTAACTCTGCTTTTCAAATAAATCAATGAATTTGTTAAAAAAAAAAAAAAAGGAAGAAAATATACTACATACAATGTGATCTTCTATATTAAACAATACTGGAGATAAAAATAAATTTTTCAATTGCTATTCAATTTTACGGCTATACATCCTATGAAAACCATTAAAAATTTAGCTCACAAACACATCTCAATTTACTAAATACTCACTGGGCTTTAAGAAGATCTTTCTCCCGTTTCTCTAATTCAGCTCTAGCTTTGTTTCTTTCTTCTTCTTCCATATCAAGCTTTGTTTCAAGTGCTTTTCTCTCCTCATCGATTTTTGCTTGCATTTCAACCATCTTATCTGGGGAAACTTTCTTTTTACCTATTTGAGTCATTCAATTGCAATAATCACTAACATGAGTCACTATTCCAGACTCAGAAACTGTCTTCACTTGATACTCAGGTATACAAAACCAAGCATTAACATTCTAAAGACATCAAACCAATAAAACCTTTCATTTCTACTTATTATGCTTATAGAACAACTTTTAAACTCATTGTTACATCCAAGCTCTTATTCAACTGTGCAATGATAATTAAGAAAAAAAGTACGTGAAAGACAAGCAAAACAGATGAGTAGAAAAAAAAGAAAAACATAAGGCAAATATTTGTGCTCCTCAACATTTTTAAAAAGCCAACAGGTTCTTCATTTACTTTTTCTTGATAACTAAGCACAAAATCAGGTGGCTTCTCAAAATTATCTTTCCTAAAACTAAATAAAACATGTTAAATGTTACATATAAATACAAAATAAATCTATTCATATAAAGAATTCATTTTTATTTTTTAGATTTTCCTAAAATTTTTATTAATTAAAAAAGTTTTGTTTCAAATTATGCAAGAAAGAATAAATTACATATTAATGATGTAACATTTACCTAGCATTGTCCGGATAATTTACAGCTAGTAAGCTATCATCCCACATCCTAATACTGTAAGTGAACAACTAGAACAGCCTGTGATGATTATGCCAGAGCCCATGCCTTTCCTAAGTCAGATCAAATATGCCAAATATCAAAATAAAGTTAAAAATACTGCTAAATTTTAAAAATCTGGATTACAGCTTCCAATGGATTACTTTGGCTATAATGTGTTCTTCATATACCTAATAGGTGGTTGATAAAAGTTTTTGATAAATTTCAAAATCTTTAAACTCAAGAAAAATGAAAATTGGTTAATAAACTAGATATGAAACTGAATCAAAGAGTATTCATTTCTGGTGATACAATTTCTTAGAAACATATATTCCTCCAGAAAACTAAACTTTTCACAGAATTGGTCTGAGGCTTTCCTGAAAGCTGTTTTATTCCTGACTTCCTTCCTTCCCAAGGACCACAGAGGAACATAAACCAGGAGAGTGCATACACTGTCAATGTCTCCACCCAGAACCCAATTCTTCTCGCTCGTAACGAAAAAGAATTAAAAAATAATTATGATGGAGATACACAACTGAATAGCTTCTTCCAAGAATCACAAGAAAGAGAATGACCCAAAGGTTTTAACTCTAGGACAAAAATGTATTTTAAAAACTTCAAGAGTTTAAGCTACATTATCCTTCATCTCTACAGTACTGTAAATCCAAAGCAAATCTAAGCCACAAAACAAATTAAATAAAAGAGAAAATAAAAGCACTGATCCAAATTCATGCTCTGGTATGGTGTGATTCATTGCATCCCGAAAGTCACTACAGACATGGTTCTGCTGCTCTGTTCGGCAAGGCGACTTGTATCAAATCATCTGATACAATTAGAAGTCTATTTCACTTCTATTCCCAGTGAATTCCTAGGAAGGTTTTCCCATTAATATTACCATTTCTTGGAAATTTATGGAGAAGAAATTTAAGGGAGGAAAGTATGTGGCCATATGTGAAGAGAAAATTCATGAAATTTACAAACTACTTCCTTTTTGTCTCACAATTATAAATATGTAAAGAAAATATTTTTAAATGTATATATGATGACATAGATATTAATGGTATAGAGGAAATTACCTGATCAACTATAAAAACAAGAATTTTAGGTTTCTAATTGTTTTGTTATGAGTCAAAAAGTTTCAAACACCATTAGGAGACAATAAAAGAAAAAGATTTTTGTACACAGAAATACAAAAGCATATGCTTATGGATGAATTAAGACTAGGTAATTTAGTAATTCAAAGCCATTCAGGTAACTTTTTTTTTTAAAGATCTATTTATTTTTATTGGAAAGGTAGATTTACAGAAAGATCTTCCCTAAATGGCTGCAATGGACAGAGCTGAGATGACCCGAAGCCAGAAGTTTTTCCCACCTTCCATGTAGGCACAGAGTCCCAAGGCTTTTGGCCATCCTCCACTGTTCTCCCAGGTCACAGCAGGGAATGGGAAGGGAAGTGGAGCATCTGGGACATGAACTGACATCCACACTGGATGATGACATAGGCAAGGTGAAGATCTAGCCACTGAGCTAGGGCCCTCAGATAAAAAATTTTTAATCTTGTTATTCTTTTTTTTTTAAATCAATTTTATGCTTTTTTTTGTTAACCTCATTTTAATTTTATTATGATTATTAAGTTTCATAATGATCATGTAAATGCATCTAGGGTTAGTTACAAAAGGCTAATCTTTAACTAACACATTACTGCAGCCAGAATCAGTTTGAATAATATAATCAAATAATATAATATATAATCAAATATATGTATAATATATATATATAATCAAATAATATTTTATGTGAATATGCACCAACTCTTCTAACCAGGTACTTAAAATTGTAGCGTCAGTAAAAGTCACTTTATAAACATTTTCTAAATATTAAAAAACGAAAAAGCTCCAGGCTCCTGGCTTCAGACCAGCTTAGCTCCGGCCACTGTGGCTATTTGGGGATTGAACCAACAGATGGAAGATTTCTCTGTAAAGCTGTCTTTTCAATAAAAATAAACAGATTTTTAAAAAGCAAAAAAGGAACCCACAGGTGCAGGCAATCAGGAATTTGACTCTCGGCTTTAAGGAAAAAATGTTTAAGTATGAAATCATTCACTTTTGTATCGTCAAAATCTAGCTTGAATTTGTACAAATTTATGAAAAGAGGAGGTTCTTAAAACATCAGCAATAACTAGGGTCTGTTGCAATGGCTTGATTGGCTAATCCTCCCCTTGCAAAGGCTGAGATCCCATATGGGTACAGGTTCGCGTCCTGCTTGCTCCATTTTCCATCCAGTGGAGGATGGCTCAAGACCTCAGGAGCCCGCATCTGTGTGGGAGACCCAGAATAAGCTCCAGGCTCCTGGCTTTGGATCAGCTCAGCTCTGGCCATGTTAGCCATCTGGTGGTGAATCAGCAGGTGGAAGATCTTTCTCTCTGTCTTCTTATTTCTATAAATCTGCCTTTCCAATAAAAATAAACAACTCTTCAAAAAAAAAAAAAGCTAAAATTGAAAAAAAGTAACTGCAAGATGCATACTTACCTTGCAAAAACAAAAGTATTAAATTTAAAAACAATAATGTATTTGGATGACAAAGTTCTTTCTAGAATAATTGTACCATGTGGAGTGCAAAGCAATCACACCAACCTGCTTGATCTTGCAATAAGTAGTAGTAAGCAAATCGCAGACAGGAAGCGAATGCATAGAGACGAGGAGGAAAAAAGGAAACATTATTTCTTTTGTAAAACAAAGAAAACTGCATAATAGCATTCATTTATAGTATAAGCATATAAACAAATCAAAACATCAAAACTGAAACACAGCTCAAGTAAAAAGAAAGCATATGCAACATGAGACGTGATTTAAGCAAAAATAAGATTTAATCTAACATCACAAATCTGTATCAAAAGTTCACACTGATTTTCAAACTCCTGCAAATGTAATAGTCAGCACCATGTGGTTATGCTAAAGGCATACATGGAATTGGGAACCTGCCCCTGGAAAATTATCTAAAAGGACAAAACAGAAAATTAAGCCAATCAAAAAATAGCAACTTAAAAATAACAAAATTCACACTGTCCACTTCCATATTTTACCAATTCAATGCTTCTTCTAGTATAAAAATTCACATTACAGGTGTTCCTCAGTTTAAGAAAATCCAACACAAAAAATCTGAACTAAAGACAGATTACAGTGATGTGTACTGTTTGGTTTAAAAAATACAAGAAAGAATTTATAAATATGGCAGATCTTCCCACACAGATTGAATTCTTCCATTTAATTAATAAACAACTTTTTTTCAGAAAAAAAATCTGCTATACAAAATGAAGTCCACCTGTACAGTAGTAAGCTTACATTTAACCTATCACTATATTCTTAAGCAGAACTGTAGTAACGATTCCATCTGGTGACACAGCAACAGACACCTGAGAAAAGGCCATTCCAGGGCTGGGAGAGGGGGCGTGCACACAGTCACACACAGCAACCACAGGCTGGACAGTCACCTCGCCGCTCCCCAACACGTGGCAGCAAAACAGTCAAGGTGAGGTATGCAAATTGCAGTGAAAAATTAAATGAAGTACAACTCATACCATACTTTCATTTAACTTCTCTTAAAGACTTAAGGTAAAATTTTTAAAAAGTAAATTACATGCCTCCTACTGATATTTTTCCTATTTCACATGTTACAATACAAAATTATACCTGTATAAAGCAATTTCATATATTTTAAAAAGTGACCTTTGAAATTGTCTTGGTAACTTGCTTAAAATTTGTCAAGAGAAAAATATTTCTAAAAATCTAGGAATTCTTCCTTTACAAAGCTAAACAATAAATAATTATTTTTATTAGTTTTAGAAAAGGTAAGTACACAGATAATGCTTTAAAAGACAGTAAGCTGCAAGCTGCTATAAAAAACTTCACCTCCCTTCTTTTTCTGGAAACAAAATATACATATATGTGTATGATTAATACTTTTCAATTTAAGGTTTAAAAAAGAAATAAGAAATAAGTCTAAATAGATCCACCATAAACTAACTGTGGTTCTAAGTATCAAATCATATCTTTAAACATTTCTTTAAATAGAGTAATTTAGAAACAGGAATAATGCTCCTGTGAAGTAAAATACTACTCAATTTCTCTTCAATGGCTTCAATCATCACATTTTTATTTAAGAGACTTTAGTCTTAAGCCACTGCTAGTAGAAGACTAGTTATAAAATGTTAACTATGTGACATGCTATAATGGATATTGGTACACTTCCAAATCCAACCTGTACTGTTCCAGGTTGAGGATTTGTTATTGCACATGCTTTATCCTGCACAGCAGTAGAAATATATCAAAACATTAAAAAACAGTAATAAGAATGATTCTCTGTACAGCTTACTAGCTCTCTTTACATTATCTCGATTGCAAAAGCATGAATCTCTCTTCCATTGTCTTGGGCATCAGCTACAGCGCATGTCTTGACAATCACAGTCAATGGGAAGCAATGAAGGAGGGAGGGGATCACCACATGCTTTGTTTTACAGAGAAGTCCAACATGTTTTCTTCGAATAATGACAGGGAGCGGTTGCAGCATTTCTCAAATGAGGCCATGGGTTATGGAAAAGCCAAAGCTCTGTTAGAGGATTTAAGAGCTGCCACTCACTGGGCAAGAACTTATCCAGAGGTTTCTCTATGACAGAACATGTGGAGTCTGAACTACTGCTGCTGCTACTGCCTGGAAGACAAAGAAATGAGCCCAACTGGAACCAAACCAAGAGGAAACAAGAATATGAACAAACACACAAAGAAAAAAATTCAGTTCCAGAGAAAGAATTTTAAAGGACATCGAGTTTTGCATTCAAAATGAAAAACTTTCTTTTCCCTAAAACCAGTCTTCATAGTCTAGCCTTTAGTCTCTACTTCACAAACCTTACAGGGGAAAATTGTACTAATCTGAACACCTACTACAGGCAGGCAAACTCTGGTACTCACCGAGAACATAACAATTCTAAGGATGTAAATGACCAGAATAAAAGCCAAATAAGCCACTTAGTACCGTTTAAGTCTATTTAGACTATTTAAGTTGGAAAATTAAAGGAATGGAGCTTTATACAACACAGGAATGATAAATTATCCTTCATTACAAGCAGGCTGGTCCATTCCAAATATGCTGTCTCCCACCAAAACATCAAACTATCCAATATAATTACTTGAGTTGAAGGTTTGACAGTAAAACTTTGAATCACTGAAAAAATTTAATTTTCTAAGCCCAAAAGAAATATGTATTATTAAATATTTTAGTGTGTTATACAATGGTCATTCTTTATATTTAAAAGTTTGATTTTGCTACAAATAATCTACTCTGAAAAAGCAGGTATAAACAAAAATTCATTTCTCTAAACCAAAGGCTAACACCTTATACAAAAGGACAGATAACAACTTGCAGACTCTGCAGGTCACGTGACTGCATGTGAAAGCAGACACGGACCACATGTAAACAAATGAGCATGGGTGTTTTTGTAAATTTTATTTACAAAAACAGGTGGTTAGCTGTATTTGGCCAACTCTCCTAAATCATGCTTCTCCTGTCTTTTGAAAATGGAATCATACTTTTTAAAGCAGTTTTGGATGTATTCTCAGATAAGCAAATATGCATCAACTTGAAAACAATGATCCATATTAATGGAAGAGAGTTCTGAAAAAAGGAAGCATCCAGAGTAAAGAGGCCTGCAAGTTAGGCCACTATAATACGTCTAACTCATCCACTCGGTGTCCGCATTCCTATCACAACTCAATCTTCATCAACTTGCAACAAATGCCCCACAGAAAGATGAGAAGGAAGGTAGATTTAGAAAAAAGAATTTAAAAGTTGAATCATCAATTTTAAAATCCACTGAATTCCTAATACAGATTAAAGTTCCTAAATAAAATTTATACTTTGCATAACATTTCTAGAGCTTTATATTTTAAATTCTGAAAAGCAATAAAACAGAACAAATGATATGTTTTGTCAGTTACAAACAGATCAGTGTATGAGAAAACAAATGCAGCTATTCACGTGTCTTCTGTTCTAAATGCTATCATAACCAAAAATGGCGAAATAAAACGCGTGCACTCCCCTGCCCCAGGCATAGGAAGCCAGCATTAGAAAGAAGACTTACCCCTTCTTTTTTTCCTTTTCTCTCCATCTTCTCCAATCTCACCTTCTTCATCATCATCCTCTCCTGACCCACTGACATCCGAGCCCGATATTTCTTCCCCTGGGAGACAAATTTAATACACTTCTTTTTACTCTGTTTTAAGTCATTTAATGCCAGTGGACTGCAGAATTAAAACAGTTAAAATGACAAATTTTATATAATATGCATTTTGCCACACACAAAAGTAAAAAATAGCCAAAAAAGGTATGTACTCCACATTAACAACACTAAAAATTAAACCTTAAAAAACATTGGCTATAAATACCACCTAGTGGTCAGACTTAAAACACCAAGTTTTATTATCTAAGTTCACTTCACCCACAACAGAGACCTGGAGAAGCTCCTGGGGCCTGGTGCAATAGCATAGTGGTTAAAGTCCTTGCCTTGAACACGCTAGGATCCTCTATGGGCACCGGTTCTAAACCTGGCAACCCTGTTTCCCGTCCAGCTCCCTGCTTGTGGCCTGGGAATGCAGTCGAGGACAGCCCAAAGTTTTGGGACCCTGCACCCGCGTGTGGGAGACCTGGAAGAGGCTCCTGGCTTCGGAATGGCTCAGCTCCAGCCACTGGGGCCACTTGGGGAGTGAATCATCGGACAGAAGAGCTTCCTCTCTGTCTCTCCTCCTCTCTGTATATCTGCCTTTTCAATAAAAATAAATCAACCTTAAAAAAAACAAAACAAAAAAAAAAAAACCAGCCGCAGCAGCAGCTCCCGGCTCCTGGCTCCAGATGGGTTCAGCACCTTTCATTGTGGTCACCTGCGGAGTGAACCAGTGGATGGAAGATCTTTCTCTCTGTATCTTCTTTTCTCTATGAATCTGCCTTTCCAATAAAAATAAATAAATCTTAAAAAAAACTCCAGTCCTTTTCATCTCTGTGACTTAATTCTCTAACATTCTTCCCCTCATCATTTTGTTTCTCTTGACGACTCCCTGAACACATGCAGGATTAACCCTGGCACTCAGCATTAACACTGACTGTGAGAGACTTTTCCCAGATTTTGGACAACTCACTCACTCTGAATGAGCATGTAAAAGGTAACTCTGCTATGCAAAAGAGAGCTTCAAGGACCAGGTGTGATGGCTCAACTGGTTAATCCTCCCTTTGCAAGTGCTGGGATCCTATATAGGTGTCAGTTCATGTCCCGGCTGCTCTACTTCCCATCCAGTTCCCTGCTTGTGGCCTAGGAGAGCAGTGAGTGATGGCCCAACAAGGCCTTGGAACCCTGCACCCACGTGGGAGACCTGCAAGAAGTTTCTGCCTCCTGGAGTTGGGTCCGTTTAGTTCCAGTCGTCATGCCCATTTGGGGAGTGAATAAGCTGATGGAAGACCTTTTTCTCTGTCTCTCCTCCCAATAAATCTGCTTTTCCAATAAAAATAAATAAATCTTTCAAAATAAAAAATTATAGACTGCTATAATTTTGATGACTTTTGTGACCATTTTAAAATTTACTTTATATCCGTGAAATTGTACATTTTCTCATCTGATCACTGTTTATGGCCCTTGCCTATTTTCCTGCTGAACTATGGTCTTTCTGCGCTGTACTTGCTAAATTCTTTAGTTGAGCATTCAACCTCAACTATAACATACATTAAAAATGCTACCTCAAAAATAACTGAAAATTTTTAAACAGAAAAAAATTCAAAATAAAATCTCATGTTCAAATTTATATATGAAAGCATACTTTCAAAGCCTTTCAATGGATTGTCTTCTCACAGCAAATCTGGTCTACTCACGGCTGCCTGGTATCTTTCTCTTAGCCAACACTGAGTTTGCTCTCTGTTCATATACAAGTGTCAATTAACACATACCCTATGGGAAGCTTGCTTTTACACAGAGATAAATAAAAATTCATTATTTTACAAGTAGTCATACAAAAGACTATAAATGCCACACTAATAAAATGTATCAGTTTAAGCAAAATTAATTTTTCTAAAAACCACATACACAAGTATTATATAACTTCATGAAAGTTTAGTATGAAAAATATGCCAAGTACCAACTTAATTTCCAGAAATTCCTTTAAATATCATGTTAATAGTACAAAAGGCATTTCATAATTTAATGGTTAACAATAGATTTTTAGATAATGTTAATAGTATTTTAAGAAAAGTTACCTTCTTCAAGCTTTTTCTTTAATTCTTCTATTTCTTTCTGAAACTGACGAAGCAAAGCATCCTTTGGATCTTCATTAATTCTAGCTTTATTTTTGATATTTTTAGCACGGTTGGCATAACGTAAGGTACTAATAGTTTCATCATAATTATAATCTGCTGGCCCAATATTTGCACACTGTCAAGTTAGATACAAGTCATTTTACACACGGCATAGATAAAATTAATAATATTATTACAAGTATATAAAAACACAACTTTTAAAGACAAATGCACTCCATCCAACATTAAAAACAAGAGTATCAACCACATGTATTTACAAATGACACTGCATTTATATATATGTACTTTATATGTATTATTTATAATATGTATAATTTATATATTTATAATACATTGTAGCTAATCAATATATGTATAACAAATGTGTATTGCATATGCATTATTATATGTGTATTAATATATATTAATAAACTACACAAAGTATAACTGCAAACCAAAATTTAAAAAAACTAATAATGTTGTACAATTAGTTATCAGCACACATTAGCACCTTACATTTGCCAAATGCTAACTCTCACTAGTTTTGACTTACCATCATGGTTTTTGAATTTCCTCCTAAAGAGTCTTGAAGAAGCCGAGTCAATTTAGAATTGCGATAAGGCACATGTGTGCTTTTTCCATCGACCAAAGCAGAAATTACATTTCCAAGAGTAGAAAGAGAAAGATTGATTTTTGTAGCTTCCTTGAGGCGCTGCCCAGTAGCTCCAGTTTTTGCTTGTCTTTCTGAACCCTAGAAATAGATATAAGCTAAAATTTAAAAATACAAAAATCCTTACAAAGTTTTTGTAATTTGTAGTAAATAATCTAATATGCTGTATGGTTTTCAATTTTTTAAACACACAGACCAGCAATTTTTCTTTTAGGGATTTATTTATTTTTATTTGAAAGAACTACAGAGAGACGGGGGCGGAGGGAGAGAGATGGAGGGAGGGAGTAAACACCTTCCATCCACTGATTCACTCCCTACATGGCTGCAACGGCCAGGGCTGCTCCAAAGTCAGGAGCCAGGAGTCTCCTCCAGGTCTCCCCTACAGGTGCAGGGGCCCAAACACTTGGCACAGCTTTTCCTAGGCAATCAGCAAGGAACTGGATTAGAAGTGGAGCAGCTGAAACACTAACTAGCACCCATACAGAATGCCAGCACTGTAGGTAGAGGGTTACCTTGCCATGCCACAACACTGACCCTGGAATTCACTTTTAGGTAATTTTAAGGAGGGGCCCAAATTGTGCCATAATATGTAAAGCCACCATCTGTGATGCTGGTACCCCATAAGGACGTTAGCTCAAGTTCTTCTCCAGCTCCTGCTAATGTACCTACAAAAGCGGCAGAGGGTAGTACCTGCTAGGGCCCCTGCACCCACATGGCATCAAGGAAAAAGCTCTCAACTCCTGGCTTTGATCTGGCCTTGGTCTAGCCATTGCAGCCATTTGGACAGTGAATCAGAAAAGGGAAGATCTTACTGAGTTACTCTTGGTAACTCTGGCTTTAAGAAAATGAATAATAAAGGAAAGGAAGAAGTACATGAATGGATCAAATAAGACTGTCGCAGTTGAGTTACAGGTGTGGAGATTATCACACCCTTCTATATACTTCCATATACATTTAAGTAAACCATAATACATATGTTAAACACACACAAGAGTAACAACCTGAAAATGACATATAATCCACATTTTCTACTTTAGTATCTATTCACGTGTAATATCAATGGATCCTCAACTTACAGCAAGATCTACCAGATGGAGCTTCCCCATCCTGACATGCATGTTACCATCAACACCTTTCTCACTGCATTCTATAGTAATCGTAAAGATGGCATGGGAACGGGAACTATGTTCATTCATATTAGTTGCTCCAACAGAACCTGCAATAAAGAAAGGAAACTCATAAAAAGTGAAACACATGATGTCTTTAAAAATAATCATCCAGAACAACTTAAAAGACTTATTTCCATCAATGTCCAAAACAAACAAACAAAAAAGAAAGAAAGCAAGCATGGGTAAAACACAAAACACAGGTATGTATTCAGCCATTTTATGAAACCTTTTCAAATAATTTCTGGTGATAACCAAAGATTTTGTATTGTTTCTCATACAAAGGACATAACCTTAGCAAAAAAATCTAAATCTATCCCAAGTATTATTACTATTAAACAGAAAGAACTCACATGTTAAACAACCAGGAACGCCATGATTAATTCAGCTGTCATAAGAGAAGCATGACTTCAGCTTCTAAACCACAAAAAACCACACAAACATGCACTAACACACGCTCCCTACATATTTGATTTGAACTAATTTCTTTACACATACACATAAATGATACAGTACATATTGCTAAGTAATTCATTTTAAACTTAATGATCAATACTGAATATCTTTACAGACTTAAATTAAGTTTCATTATACACAATATTTTATTTTATAACATAAATGATATTCTATTATCTTTATTTTTATTTATTTATACTATATTACTTATACCTGAGAAATATTTTTCTAGATTATGCATCTAAAATAAGAACTACTGAGTCAAAAGGAATTAATTAATTGATTGATTGATTGATTAATTTTTATTGGAAAGGCAGATCAGATTTATGGAGAGAAGGAGATACTGTGAGAAAAGATCTTCCATCCACTGGTTCACCCTCCAAATGGTCGCAATGGCTGGAGCTAAGCCAATCCAAAGCCAGGAGCCAGGAGTTTCTTCCAGGTCTCTCACACAGGTATAAGGTCCCAAGGACTTAGGGCATCCTCTACTGCTTTCCCAGATGATAATCAGGGAGCAGGATGGGAAGTGGAGCAGCCAGGACATGAACCAGAGCCCACATGGGATCCTGGTGTTTGCAAGGGGGAGCATTTAGCCTCTGAGCCCAACCGGACCCAGTAGGAATTTAATTCTTTTTTTTAAATGATTTACTTATTTGAAAGGCACAGTGACAGAGAAGAAAGAAGAATCAAACAAAAAAGAGAGACCAGCCCTGCAGTCTCTGTGCAATTAATATTACTAAAGCTTCTTATTCTTGAGATTAAAACTTTGAAGCAATTACCAAAAAGAATGTATATTTTGATTTTGTTTTGCTTCTCTTGTCAACAAAGCAGAGCTAGTAGTGACTTCTCAGAGTAGCCTGCTGGCCTGCCTTCAGGTACCTGTTCTGCTAGGTGGTAATTATACTGTCCTGAACAGGTTACTTAAACTAAAGCCTCAGGCCTTTCCTAACCTAAACTGAGGGTTACAAGCAAGCAAGCACTTAGACAAGCACTTTCCACTTACCAAGTGCTCAATAAGTGTTATCAATATTACTAAATTCTGCAAAAGCTAACGAAAATACACAGAAAACAAGACATGATTTCACAAATGTTTTGCAGACACCAAAATAATCTTTCAATTTCATTTTCCATGAATGTTTTGAAGTTGCCTCCTATTAAAATAATAAGAGCCAGACATAGGGACGTTTCAAAGATTAGCACTATTGAAAAGGAAAATTTTGGTCTGTAGGAAAAATAACCTGTGCTACCTTTCATTCATATATGTTCTCTACATAACAAATGATCAAAACAAGAAGGTTCTGAAGAAACCTAAAATTGTAGTCTCTATGAGGAAAGTGCCAGACTAGTTTTGCTTCTTACTCAGCCTACTGATTATACAGATGTTGAATCACAATCATGCATTATACTTACGATTTTTGTGGCCTAGAGTCATAATCCTATCCATATCATCAGCATTGTTCACAACATAAGCTGACAAATCCTTGATGTAAACTCCCACATCAGGTCTTTCTTTAACCTAAAACAAAACAAAACAAAACAAAGACTTTTTCACTGACGTCAATACTTCTTTAAACGATTTATCATTATTTGGCAGATTGATTTCACAGAGGGAGAAGGAAGGTGGTCTTCCATCTGCTGGTTCACTTCCCAAATAGCCACAACGGCCAAAGTTGAACTGACTCAAAGCTGGCAACCAGGAGCCTCTTCCAGGTCTCCCACACAAGTGCAGGGTCCCAAGGCTTTGGGCCGTCCTCTGCTGCTTTCCCAGGCCACAGCAGGGAGCTGGATGGGAAGAGGAGCAAGCAAGATACAAATCGGCACACATAGGGTTTGCCAGCACCACATGGTAGAAGGTTAGCCAGTTGCACTACCACACCAGCCCCAATACTTCAAACAATTACTTATTGAGCATCTAATTAATAATGTGTAGGAAAACACAAATAGTGAAAAAACCACACATGAGTTTCCAAAGTTTTTTTTTGCAGAATCAGCGTTGTGGCAGCAATTCCTACCCTGCCTGTTCTCCTTCCAATACAGCTAATTGCTGATGGCCTGGGATGCATTATGGAAGATGGATAAATGTACGGACTCATGCCGCCCATGAGACATGACTGAAGTTCCTGGCACCCAGCTTTGCAGTTACAGCCACCTTGGGCGTGAACCAGCAGATGAAGAGCTCTCTCTGCCTCTATCTGTAACTCTGACTTTCAAATAAATACTTAAAAAAAAAAAAGTTTTTGGGCCCGGCGGCAAGGCCTAGCGGCTAAAGTCCTCGCCTTGAACACGCCGAGATCCCATATGGCTGCCAGTTCTAATCCCAGCAGCTCCACTTCCCATTCAGCTCCCTGCTTGTGGCCTGGGAAAGCAGTCGAGGATGGCCCAAAGCCTTGGGACCCTGCACCCATGTGGGAAACCCAGAAAAAGCTCTAGGCTCTGGCCTTTGAATAAGCTCAACTCTGGCGATTACAGCCACTTGGGGAATAAACCAGCAGATGGAAGATTTTCTCTCTGCATCTCGTTCTTTCTGCATATCTGCCTTTCCAATAAAAATAAATCTTTAAAAAAGTTATATATAGTGAAACCATATTGCTATGAAAGTTTTTAGCAGCTACAGTCACACTTCCTGCTCATCTTCATTACACACTAAAAGTATTCTTCAAAGTGACATCAATCTGCAAACTACTGAACTCCAAGGTCTTTTATGAAGTTTTTTCCACCCACAATATGATATCAACTCAAAATTCAATTATGAAGTATAGATAACTGATCACTCAAGTGAAAGATAAAAACAAAATCACTCAACCTATGAAAGTCTCAGAAAATGGGTGGTAAGCTTTCATTAAAAAAAAAAAAACAAACAGTAATTTACTTTTTATGTCAAGTATAGTTTATAATACTAAATGATAGATCTGAATAAATCTGTGGGGGTGTTTACAGTTCACTAGAGGACTCTATGAGTATTTACAGAAACAGACTAGGGATTCTAAATATCCTGCAATGGGTGTGTCTTACCCAATGAGGCTGTCCTACGTAACTATGAATGTCCTATCAGATATTCACAGGGATGAAAAAACTGTAATTATCTGAGTCTAGACTAAAATAATTATATGACATCATTTTACAAATAAAGACAATGGGATTTTCCACTTAACAGTAATTACAATAATAAAATACAGGAACAGAGGAAAACAAGAAAGAATACTATTCAATTTGGTGCAAAATTCTTCTAAAAACTAGTTTATTAAAACAATTTTGGAAATTTAAACAAATTTTTAAAAAATTTTTTAAATTTGAAAAATCTTGAAAACATTTTTTTTTTCACTGTTCAAAAATAAAAACAAACTGGGAACAGCTCTTAGAGACTCAAGGCCATAATCAGTAGCTGGGGCCAACATCTGGCTCCTGACTCTGAGTCCAACTTGTCTCGGTGCTCTAGACCCTGGAAGGCAATGTTGACAGACCTCCCCTCCCATCTACTGATTAACTCTTCAAATGGCTATCACACTGGGGACTGAGACTGGGCCAGGCTGAAGTCAGAAAACCAGAACTCAACTTGTATCTGAGGCATAAAGAATCACCATGGCTGCAACAGCTACAAATGAGGGTTCAGGCACGTTGTACAGGTGGTCTAAACTCCTCAACAGGTGTTACCATCAGTGACAGAAGTTTGTACTTATTTGTCTATTTATTTCCTTATTTTAAAAACTGTTTTGACAGGTAGAGAAAGAGAGATCTCCCACCTGCTGGTTCATTTCCAACAGCCATGTCTAGGGCCCCCAAAGCCCCACAACAGCTAGGGCTAAGCCAGGCTGAAGCCAAGTTTCCAACGTGGGTAGCAGGGATACAATTACTTGAGCCATGCACCTGCTGCCTCTCATGGCACACATGAGCAGGAAGCTGGAACTGACAATGGAACTGAGACAGAAACCCAAGCAGTCTGGCATGGCGTGCGGACGTTCCAAGTGGCACTTAACTGCTACACCAGAAACTCATCCCTGTGTCTTATTTTTTAAATATTTTTATTTTCCTTTATTATAGTAGGACAACATGCTGACTTTTAAGAATTGAGTGCTTAAGCAGATTTTATCACATAAAATTTTATTTTAGGACACTCAGAAAGGCATTATAAAATACATATAAAAAAGTACACTGAGTCTATCAGGGTTGAGAGTCATTGAAAAGAATATCCTGAGAATAAATTTAATCTGTAATTTCTGCACTCAAAAAGGAAAATTAACAAAGTATTCATTAAAGCCAGATGACAACTGCATCAAACTTGTACATTTGCTATGTATATGTCATCACTATCAAAATAAGGCTTTACTATGGCCCTAGAACAACAATCCCAAACAATGATAACACAAAGCTCCAAAAACTCAGCTTATCCAGTTAACTTAAAAACACCTAGCATTTATTATTTACCTCATCCATGGATTGTGCATCAGAATCAATTTAAACCCCAGAGTATGTTAATGCTAACAATAATCCCATGAAACAGGTACTATCACCATTTCCATTTATATATGATGAAAGTAAAGCTCACAGAGCTTAAGTAATTTGCTCCCCATCATCGCCTAGAATCAAGATGAAAGAGCAGGGCCCCAGAAATCATGCTCTTAATCCATGTTGCTATTTGCTTGCAACATGACCTTGAGCAAGTCATGACCTTGAGCAAGTCATGGAATCCTTCTAAGTTTCAATTTCCATATCAGCAAAATTGAAATTCGGTGAAGATTAAATGAAATAAAAGTGTGTTATTTTAATTTCATCAAATGCCCGTCTCTCGATCAAAGTTAATAATAGTGGATGTTGCTGCTCTAAATTCTATTCCACTGTCATCCAACATAAATTGCTCTCCTCTATTTTGTTGACAGTGAAATCCCTAATCCTAATTCTAACATTATTATTGTAAAGACTAATCTTTTATTGGTTGTCTCATATCTTAAAATATCAAAGTATCTGGAAAAATCTATCAAATCTGTCACTCATTTCTCACCTAACTCAACAATCTTATTTCACTAATTTATAGCCAGATACACATATATATGAAATAACACACAAATAAGGCCATTTAAAATATTAAAACCAGGAGCTGGTATGGAGGCACATAAAGCTAATCCTCTGTTCTGTGGTGCTGCCATCCCAAATGAATGCCAGTCAATGTCCCCGCCATTCCACTTCCAGTGGATGGAAGACCTTCTCTCTCTTTCCCCCTATGTAAAATGTGCCTTTCACATAAAAATCAATGCATCTGGTTTTATTGCAGCATCCAGCATACTCTTCTTAAAAAAAGATGTGTATTCATTTTTATTGGAAAGGCAGATATGCACAAAGGAGACACAGACAGAAAAATTTTCCATCTGCTGGTTCACTCTCCAAACAGCTGCAATGGCTACAGCTGAGCCAATCTGAAGCCAGGAGCCAGTAGCTTCTTCTGGGTCTCCCACATGCAGGTACAGGGTCCCAAGGCTTTGGGCCGTCCTAGACTGCTTTCCCAGGGCACAAGCAGGGAGCTGGATGAAAAGCGAAGCAGCTGGAACAGGAACCAGCATCCATATGGGATCTTGGCATGTACAAGGCAAGGGTTTAGCCACTGAGCCATCATACTGGGACCCCAAAACAAATATTTTAAAAAACACATTAAAGCTACCTTTAACAGAAACGGGCCTTAATTCAGTAAGTATCCCATTGCTTTGGAAATACTCACTTTCAATTATCTTACCTCTAACCTCTGTGTCTGATCTTTGCCCAAAAGGTCACGAACTTCTTCATTATATATTTCTAAATATGAAACTCTAACCAAAAATCTGCAAATAAAACAAAATTTCTTAAACTTAAATGCAATAAAATAAGAACAGTATGAAAACATGTTTGTAACACTTGAACATAAATGCCCTTCCTATGTTTACATTCTCAATTATTAGAAAATAAAAGGATCCACTTTTACCTTGTGTCACCCTCTGCCTTTGCAATATGACCGAATATGTGTGCAAATGAATTGGGAATGATTCCTCTAAGCTCAGGAACAGCGCGAACACCTTCCATGGTGAAAGTTTTACCTGTTCCAGTTTGACCGTATGCAAAAATCGTACCTGAAAATAATAAACAGTGACTTGTTAGTCTCACGCTACAAAAATCATTCTTAAAATGAACTCCTCTGACTCAATGACAGAATTTGCTTAAAAAAGAAACAATTCTAATTTTAGACAAATTCCTTTAGGTAATAGTTCCCAATTTAGTCCATGAAACTTGCATTATCCTGATACCAAAACTGAACAGACATTTTAAAATATTTTAGCAATATAGATATAATAAGTACAATTATAAAGACAATTCTATTCACAACATCAAAAACTTCAGAGGAATGAAAACATCAAAGGAAGGACAAGACCTGTGTACTGAAAGCTTCAAAATACTGATGAAAGAAACTACTCAAGACCTAAGCGTACGGAGCGACAGCTAATGTTCATCTCAGCACAGGGCAAATTAACACGATCTCCCCTCAACTCTCTGCAGGCTTTTTTGGTTTTTGTTGTTGTTGTTGTTTCATTTTGTTTTTGTTGAAACTGATAGATTCTAAAACCCAAAGGACCTAGCAGTGAAGACAAAGTTGGAGCACTTACACGATCTAATTTCAAAATATAATAAAGCTGTACTCAAACTAATAAGTAAGAGAATAGAAAAGAAATAAAACATTCTAGAAATAAGCTCATTCGTAGTCAGGTGATTTTTTTGACAAAAGTGCCAAAAAAGGGGCCAGCACCCGCAGCATTGGCCACATATGGACACCAGTTCCAGTTCAACTGCTCCACTTCAATTAGTTCCCTGCTAATGTGTCTGGGAAAGCAGTGGAAGGCTGCCCAAGCACATGTGCCCCCGCACTCACATGGGAGACCTGGAAGTCCCGGGCTTCTGGTCTTAGATTGGCCCAATTCTGGTCACTACGGCCACCTGAGGAATGAACCAGCAAACGGAAGATCTCTCCCTCTCCCTCTCTCTCTCTCTCTGTAACTGTGCCTTTCAAATAAATAAATAAAGCTTTAAAAAAATGCCAAATTAATTAAACAGGAAAAGAAGAGTCTTCTCAATAGACAATAATGGAACAACTAGACTTCCACAGGCAAGAAATGAAAACAAAGGTAGGCAAGAATAACAAGAACCAAGACTCTTATTTTACATCATATATAGAAAACACATAAATAATCACAGAGCTAAACATATATCTAAAATCACAAAACCTCTAGGGGAAGACATCAAAAAAATCTAAAGGCCAACTCTGTATTAAACACACCAGTATGCCAGCAAAGCTGCCTATTTGGTTCTTTTTTTTGTTGTTGTTAAAGATGTGGGTAGGAGGCAGGGTCCCCATTATGGACACATACCAGGTCAGGGACACCACACTGCCATCGTTACTACCATTAGCGTTTGTGGGAGGGGTGTGCACTGCTAGGGGCTGGAGGACTGGGGATGGGTTGGAACGGGGGCCACTGAGTGCTCAGTTGACATGTACAAAATGATTTCTGAGAGCTTCCAGGACCTGGCCACTGCACCTGTAGGTAACTGAGAGCTGAAATGGGGTAGATCAGAAAGGGGAATCCAGAGGGCCTCCCTGGGTCAAGCCAAAGCATCTATCCAAGTGCACAAGAGCCAACACTGGGGCAAGAGCAGCTGAGGGGGCAAGCTAGGGCACGCACAAGCCAGACTGGGCTAGGCTGCAGCATTTGTGTGCACATTTGAGAGGGCAGGCCTGGAGGGAGTCCTCAGGGGTCTTCTGACCAGGCTTCAACAACCTCAGTACCAGTAAGGGTCCAGTCTTGGAGAGTGGGTAGGGCTAGGGTGGTTTGCAACACCTGCTGGTGCACAGAAGTGTTAAGTCTGGGGACCAACTCAGTAGAGGCTCTTCGGCATCAGCCCCCTGGGCCCACTCTCCCCAATCCCCAAACTCAGGAACATAACATGACATCTGGTCTGGCCAGACATTGTGGGACTGGGCTGACAGCATACCAAAATGCACCACAGACCACAGCTAGGCAGTCTGATCCAACAGAGTTCTGCCTCACCAAAGATGGAAACAGCAGCAGGTTGAACCACACTACAGGCCAATTTTATTTTTTCACCACCAAACATCTAAGGCTATGGACACAGCAAACAGACACAGACAGCTGGCAAGTGTGGGCAAGTGGAAGCTCCCACCTGGAACAACAAAGCCAACACTATCTCAGAACAGTCCTACTCAAGTAACACCGTCAGGACATTCTTCCCCACTCGGGGGGCCAGGAGCGAAAGCAAAACCAGGGGACCATCTCTGTCCTCTGGCGCTGAGATCTGGCAGCAAGGAGCAGTGCAGACATCCCCCACCCTCTCACAGCAGGGAGGCCAGGGTCATTTCCCTCACCCTGCTCACCCCCACCCCACCCTTCCTATCTGCCCCAGAGACCTGCATGGTCTGCAATCCCCTCACCCAGGTAACAGACATTTTAAAAATTTAAATTTAAAAAAAAAATCGGAAAATGAAAAAAACCACAGCATGGAGAAAATATGTACTGTGTGAAAACTGCATACCCGACCGAGCATGTCAGTGGTCAATGCATATATAACGAGAACAGGGGCTTGCGGAAGCTCACAGAATACTGCCGTAGAATGTGAAACAAGAATCCGCAAGTCACACTAGTGAGGGCAAAGGCAGTGCAGCCATCACGCGGGAAAACAGGCTCTTCAAATGACAAGCACATTACATCTCTTTTTCTCTTCCGGGTATCTTTCCAAATGAAACTTTAAAATGTATCTACACAAACAGGTACAAATCCGTGTTCATAGCAACATAATGTGTGACAGCTAAAACACTGAAAACAACACAAATTTCCAGAAAATAATGAATAAACAAAATGTTATTACATGAGGCATACAATTTTCATCCAGCTTTTACACAGTTCACCCAATTCACAAAAATGGGGGGGTGCATATTAATGTATGCAAAAGATAGATGACTTTAAAACATGCTAAGAAGGGCTTGGTGCAGCAGCCTAGCACCTTGCATGTGCCAGGATCCCATATGTGTGCCAGTTCTAATCCCGGTGACCCCACTCCCCATCCAGCTCCATGCCTGTGACCTGGGAGAGCAGCAGAGGATTGCCCAAAGCCTTGGGATTCTGAACCCATGTGGGAGACCCAGAAGAGGCTCCTGACTTCGGATCAACTCAGTTCTGGCCACTGCAGCCATTTGGAGAGTGAACCAGCAGATGGAAAATTTTTAAATAAATAAATAATAAAGGGCCCAGAGCTGTGGTGTAGTGAGTAAAGCTGCAGCCTATCGTACCAGCACTCCATAGACACCAGAGTTAAGAGTCCCATGGCACTATTTCCAATTCAGCTCTCTGCTCCTGTGCCTGGGAAATCAGCAGGTGACCCATGTGGTTGGGACCCCAGAAAAAGCCCCTGGCTTCAAATCAGCTCATTCACAGCCCTTGCCGCCATTGGAGGAGTGAACCAGATGATGGAAGATATCTCTGTCGTTCCCTCTCCCTATAACTCTACTTTTCAAATAAACAAATATTTTTAAAGGGTAATAAAATCATATACTGTGATTAATATGAAATTGCCAGAAAAACTGTCATGACAGAAAGTGAACCCCCTGGTTACCTAGGACATAGCTGCAAATGAGCAAAAAGGAAATTTGTGGATGTAGGAAGTGTTCAGAAAAAGAACTTTGCAATTAGAGCAACAAAAAGCACTCACCATTGTAGCCTTCAAGGACAGAATCGATAATAGGTCTTGCAGTTAAGTTATACACATCAAGCTGTTTGCTTTCTGGTCCAAAGACGGTATCAAAAGTAAAGGTCTTGGGAGGCTCGTTGGAAGAGTCGGTCTTGTGCACGGTGATGGTCCCCCGCATCTCGTCCACGCTGACGGCCTGCCGGTAGCACATGGACTTCTCCCTCTCGTTGAGGGGCCGACACCGAACGACCACCTTCACGTTGTCGCAGCTTTCTGGCTTCTCGGACTTATTGACCTGGTGGAAGCAATTTCACAAATAAAGAAAAGGAGCACTTATTTTTACCTTCAAGACACAACTTAAAATCTGCAAAAGGCGATCTCGTTCTCTCGGTGCTTTGCATGTGTTAAGGACTTCATAAGTATCTATAAATACAATTCAACATCTCCTATAGAAAGACTGTTAAACAACAAAGAAAAATGGTTTGTTCTTAAAAGATTTGTTTATTTTTATTGGAAAGGCAAATATACAGAGAGAGGAGAGACAGAAAGGAAGATTTTCCATCCAAGGATTCACTCCCCAGGTGACCGTAACGGCTGGAGCTGAGCCGATCCGAAGCCAGGAGCCAGGAGCTTCTTCCAGGTCTCCCACGCCAGTCCAGGATCCCAAAGCTTTGGACCCATATGAAATCCCGGTGCATGGAAGGTGAGGACTTTAGCCACTAACCTATTGTGCCGGGCCGGGATACAGTTTATTTTATGGCACAAAAGGAAAGAGAAAACCCTCACTTGAATCTGTACTAAATGCTGTCCAAGAAGAAAAGGATAGTGACGCGGGACGGGCAGCAGAGCAGAGCTTTTATCTGTTTTGTGGTGTAGCAGGTTATACTCCATGCTGAGGCTGGCAGCCCACAATGGCATGCTGGTCTGAGACCTGGCATTCTGTTTCTGGGTCAGACTTATGCCAGTGTGTATCCAAGTGAAGGCCCAAGGGCGGAGGTCCCTGCTGCTACGGGGGCGAGCAGATGGAGAAATTTTTGGTTTCTGACTCTGGCCTGGTCCAGGCCTGGCTGTTGGGTCCATTTGCAAGCAAAAAGCAGATGATGAAAGATCTAGTTCTCTCTCTCTTTGACTCTGTCTTCATAATAAAATAAATCTTTAAAAAAAACAAAAACAAAATGCAGAACAGAGCCCAGTGCAGTAGCCTAGTGGCTTAAGTTCTTGCCTTCTATGCACTGGGATCCCATATGGGTACCTGTTCATGTCCTAGAGTCCCTGCTTGCCATCCAGCTCCCCGCTTGTGGCCTAGGAAGGCAGTCCAGGACGACCCAAAGCCTTGGGACCCTGCATCCGCGTGGGAGACACAGAAGAAGCTCCTGGCTCGTGCTTTCAGGATCAGATCAGCCGTGGCCATGTAGCCACTTGGGGAGTAAATCAGCAGATGGAAGATCTTTCTTTCTCTCTGTAAATCTAACTTTCCAATAAAATTTTTAAAAATACATATTTAAAGACAAAAAATTAACATTAACAAATTAAGACTTGCTGCACAAAGTCTCTGACACTGAGTCTCCTGCCAACCAGAAAACACAGGGAGCGTGAACTTGAGGACCTGAATCAACAGCGTAGTGGGTTCTGGGCTCCCATGACACGCCTAGTGTTATCTCTTACAACGCATTGGCAAACTGCTTCCAAACATCACACAGCCATACATCATTTACTCATCTTCTCACACAAGAAAAAGTAAAAGAGAAAAATGTCCTGGTGTGACCTAATCTTAGGAACACTGATACAAGTTTCGATTTCTGAAATTTCAGATGATTTATGAATTTGTATTAAAACACAATCTCATTATTAAAGGAAAGCTGTTTAATGAGCTAACTGAACAGAATACTTTAAATTTCCACTTCAGGCACTCTATCGCTGGTTTTGACATGGTCAGTGACCAAGTGACAACACATCCTGACACAGTCACGCCCCCTCCGTTGGTCCCCTCGTGCCTCTAGCCCAGCCGCCTCCCTGACCGCACGCTGACATCTAATGAGGTCACCCTCCAGTCTCTTCTCCACAAGGCAGTCAAGGCCAACGCTGATTTAGGCACGCCCGTTTCCCACCTAATATTCTCCACAAGTTGCCCTTAGATGGCTGGGAACACACTGGCTCCTCCCCACATCTCCCTGCAGCCTTCTCGCCCACCGCCCACTGGGCTTTCTGGCATCTTCGCCCCTGCTCCTGCTCACCGCTGCCCAGTCCTTTGGCCGGAATCACTCCTCCCCTAGCTAACCACCACTTCTCAAAGCCCCCTTCCGGGAGGATCCTCTTCACCCCATAAAGCACCCTACGGCTCTGGGAGCACCTCCTTCTCTTGGTGTGTATCATTTTATTTTTCATAGTTGCTAACATTCAGAAATGTCCCAAAACCAACCATTCCAGCAGTCTCACCGAATCAAAGTGCCCTCTTCCCATAATGTGCCTGGTATTCAGCTGCTTCTAAAACAAACCTGGCTGCTTTGGCTCCGCTTTTCTAAGTATAGCATCTAGCATTGTGTTTAGTGCCCACTATTTCTGGAACGAATTTAATAACTCGAAAGCAACGGACAGAGCATTCGATGTTGAATGTCAAGCGCTGCCCTTCAAGTCCCAGATAACAACCCCAAGAGACAAGTTTAATTATGCGGGAAATAAGGGCCCTGACACATCAAATAATGGTCTGCGGCCTCACCACGGCGGAAGAACCCGCGTGCCTCTGGTGTTGGGACTTAACAACGCCCCCTTTTTGAAGGCACTAAGATCCTACAGCGCCAAGCGCACACAAAGACACCTGCAGGCTACATCCCGCCCCGCGAGCGACACGGGAACGCCAGCTCCCGGCCTCCGCTCTGCCGCCTCCCGCAGGCCCACGGACCTCGGCGGCCGCCCCCAAGATGCCCTAGCCAGCGGGCAGCGCCCGGGTGCCAGAGCGCATCCTGCCGCCACGAGCGCAGGCCCCCGGGATGAGCGGGGGATGCGGGCGACACGGGCCTCGCCCCCAGGACCCTCCCGGGACGGACTGGCCCCCCGCGAGCCTCGGGCCCACCCGCCAGCTCCCGTAACCGCCCGGCTCCGCCCCACCCGGGCCGCCCGCCGGCTCCGCGCCTCCATGGCAACGGCCGCGCCCCCGGGCCAGGCCTCACGGAGGAGGAATCTCCCGCGGCCGAGCGACCCTCCTCACCGGCATCGTGACGCCCTCCCGTGCCCGGCGGACGTCCCCGCCCGGGGTGCGGCCCAACGACACGGCTCGACACGACCCTGCGTGGGCGAGAGACGCTGTCCAGAGACGCCCGGACACCTCCTGGACGCTCCCGAGAATGCGGCTCCTCGGGCGAGAGCACGCAGTGCGCAGGCGCGCTCCGAGCGCGCCCCGCCCCAGCTCCGCTTTCGGGGTCCTGGCATCCTAAAGTGCGCCTGCGCGGAGGCCGCCCGGGCTCATCTCCTAGGACGCCAGATGGAGACGGCGCCTGCGCAGTGCTGCCGGGCCGCGGCGCTGGGCGTCGCGCGGGCGGTGAGGCGGCCACACCTGGCAGGCGCGAGCCTGAGGAGGAGGCGCGCTCGGGTTCGTCAAGGCCAATTTTGTGACACCTGGAGTATCCCGAACGTCAACAACCATTGTACTTTGCGTCCCAGCTGGAAAACTGAGGCCTGAGCTGCGCTCTTACCCTTAGGTGGCCCATCTCCCAGCGTCTCTAACCGCCCGGTGCACGCAGAATTTCAGCAAACCTTTGTGAAAGGGCCAGTGATCCTTCGCGCCCAAAGCCCTCTCTTGGAGGTGCGAAAGGCACTTCCAGCTTAACTGCCGCACAAAACGGAAACTTTTACTCTGCATCCCTACCTCTTTTTGGGGGCCTGTCCCCCCCAAAAGCGCCCCAGCACACACGTCTTTCCTCCCCCCCCCCCCATGACTGGAAACTGAACTCCGACAGCTGCACGGATCAGAGCCACGGTCTCTCCCTCTGTTCCCCGACATCCGATGTTCAGTGGGGCCCAAGGGAGCCGCCCTCTCGCCATCTGTGCCAGGCCTTCCTAAGGCAGCTGAGCACCGAACTGGCTTCCTTGCTGGCATGAGGATGCGCTGCCAGGATGCAGTCACTCCCCAGCATTCCTGACTTCTGCCTCTGGGATATCAGGCAGCCACGGGTGGGAAAATTTTCCAAAAACAACCACGTCTATACTGAACATACTCAGCCTTCTTGTTGTTCATTGTCTTAACGTACAATGCTGCTGTCATTTACGTAACTGGCTGATGTGTGTTGTATTTAAACAGGAGGCTGTTTCCTGCCCAGGGCTTAGGTATCTCTGGCGGTCCCCCTGGGATTCACAGGAACTAGAGATAAGGTGTGAAAATATGAATCATTTTTTAAAAAAATTTGTTTAATGTATTTCAAGGGCAGATTTAAGAGAGGAAATGGGAGCAAGGCAGACATTTCTCCACCAGCTGGTTCACGCCCCACACGGCAGGACTGGGCCAGGATGACGCCAGGAGCCAGTAACTCCACCTGGGTCTCCCACGTGTTTGTTGGGGCCTTATCCCTCCACAAGCTCCTTGTGCTTTTTTCTAGCCGTTATCCACCCACCCCTAAGGGCCACGGCAATGAACGTGATAAACTAGCTCTGTTTTTAACAGAGTCAGTCGTACAGTATGAACTCTTCATTAAAAAAATATATATATTATCTGAAAGATGGGTCCCGTGCTGTAACCTAGTAACTAAAGTATTTGCCTTGCACGTGCCAGGATACCATATTGAACGCCAAAATTCTAATCCCAGCAACCCTGCCTCTCATCCAGCTCCCTGCTTGTGGCCTGGGAAAGCAGTCGAGGAGAGGACGGCCCAAGGCCTTGGGACCCTGCACCCACGTGGGAGTCCTGGAAGAGGCTCCAGGCTCCTGGCTTCGGATGGGCTCAGTTCTGGCCGTTGGGGCCGCTTTGGGGGGACAGCTTCCAGAGTCCCAGAAGAAGCTACAGGTGTAGCAGCTGAACCCGCCTATACCGGAGGCAGCCTCAGCTGCGCGCCCAAGTTCTGGGTTATAAAAAACCGAGTTACAACATGGTGCCCCACACAAGGGATCCTGCTTGTCTCATGGCCTCGGACGAGCGAAAGCTTTCACCCTCCAGAGTAAGCCATGGGAGGACCTCAGTCAGAAGTCCGGACCAGGAGGCCCTTTGCTGTCTGCTCCCACAACGTCCACGGTCCGCCTCTGTGCCGGCTTCGTGGAATAGACACCTGGAGTCACGCCCGTCAGGGGCAGCCTCATTCTCCCTGACCCCGTCGGGGCGAGGACCCCAGCGCCCCGCGGCGCGCGCTCAGCAACCTGTGGCCACGTTCGGGCCCTTACTGCCCCTGCCAGAGTTGCTTCAGTGGGACCTATGGCTGCGGCCCAACGACGCAAAAATCGTGAGGGAGCCCCAGTTGCTTATCCGCCTGCAGCTGACCCAGGACCGCGAGGCTCGCCAGTGGCGAGGTGACCAACCCCAGGTACCAGCACACTCACAGGGAAAACAGACGGGGTGGTGTGCACCTGGTTCAAGTGCTAGACGCCCAGGAGATTGGCCCCTTGGTCAGGTGTGGCGCCTCACAGGCGCTTTCCTCATTTCTCTTGTCTGACCGGTTTCCTTCTCAGGGAGAGGGCAGGTTGCAGTGGGGTGAGCCTCAAGGCCTGGCACTGAGGCACCTGGTCCCATGGATCACGATGAAGCAAATGGCCTCTTGTATGCGCTCCAGTGCCTACAGGAAGGCTGCTTCTGCCACGGCCACCCTCCCTGCCCTCTGCCCTTTCCTCTTTGCTGTAGCCCGAGGTCTGCGCCGCCTTCCAGGGCATTGTACAGGAGCTCCTGCAGCTCCCCAACATTTTCGACTTCAATTTAGCCACGTTCAACCTGGCCTTGACCATCTTCAGCCGCCTCGTGGCTTCAGGAAAGGTAGGGCAGCCTGGGAGGGATGGTGAGAGGCCCAAGACACTCCCATTGCTGCCTGATAGGTGGACGCCCCTGCAGCAGCCTGTGCCTGCAGACAATGGCTCCTGGGGGGCCTTGCTTCTGGTTGGAAGCAGAAGCAAGGGGTGGACACTGGGCAAATGGGAGGCCCTCACTTGGTGTGTTGAGGCGGGGTGTATGTGCCTGCACTTTTCGGGTCCAGATTCTCCCCAGATGCGCTTACTGTGTACTGCAGGTGAAGGAGAAGTTACTCCACATTGCAGCTGTTGCTTCCCTGAGACTGGCTGTGAAAGTTGAGGAGGAGGACGAGGTGTGTGTGCTGGGAGGTATGCTGGCTGCCAGTCTCCACAAAAGGCCTGGGCCCTTGAAATGGAGGAGCAGTGGGGAGAAGTCCCTAACTTCCTGGGACCTCTCTTGCCCATTCCTTAGGCTTGCTGGACCCTGGGGACCCTCCTTTTTCCTCCACCGTCCCCCCAAGACAGAGGAACACAGCTGAAGCCTCCTGGCCAACAAAGCTAGAGCCTGACCCCTGGCGGATTGGCCTTGTCCTGAAGGCCGCTCCACCCATGTGGGCCCATGGCCACTCCCTAGAAACCAGGTTTAAGAAAGCTGCTGGAGACCTAGAGTGACCATGGCCATGAACATGGTCCGGGGATTCTAGAATGCTTTGCTAAAAGGGGCAGGAAGGCTGGGCACATGAGGGCAAGAGGGTAGAGAAAAGTGGCCACCAGTTCTCCAGGCTGGGGTGGACTTGCCTCGGGGCCTCAGGCCAGTTCTCAGGCCACACCTCCCCTGCCCTGAGCTCTGAGCCCTCCCACTCTAGTCCTCAGGAACACTCCCAGGCTGCAAGGCCTCTCTCAGCTCATCTCTGGCTCTGAGGAGCAATACAAAAAAAAGTTGCCTGTGTACTTCCCATTCCAAACTCTCAATACAAATGTCTTCAGCCCCTGTGGATTAGAACGGCTCTGTGCCTCCCCATCCCCCTGGAGAAAGTTGCTTTCATGCGACTGAAAACCATGCCAGTGACCCTCGAACCATTTCTAGGAATTAACAACAATACTTCCTTTCGCTAGAATGGTGACATCCAGTCTTCATTGCATTTGTCCCTTGCATGTTTGCTCAAACACTAGCCTTAATATTCTTCCACTCCGACCCCCAGAGCAGGGGCAGGAGCATCATTAATTTCCCGTGAACCACCTTAAATTAAGGCAGAAGGGAATGATCGTAGTGGCAGTATTAATGGGTCTGTCTGGTGCTTGTATGGCAAGTAACCAGGGAGGGATCAGGAGCAGGGATGGCCAGAGCCCAACCGAGGCTGCTGGAGTGCTTGACTGGACGGGGAGGTAATGTAGGTACAGCCACCAGGGCACCCTCACGTGAGTGCCTGCCGGCATGCAACTGCGGATGGAGACCTGTTCACAGAGGGTCTCCGTGTGATGGTCACACATGTCATCACAATTTCCTTAGAGCTGTCCCAACACAGCTGGGGTCTGGTCTGGCCTTTGAGAAGCACTTGGGCAGGCCCAAGGAGGTCATGGAGCCTGGTCCCCAGGGAGAAGAAAACAGAAGCTGCTATGACATGGTATAGGGCCTTGGCCTCTTTATTTTCTTTCTCTCTTTTTTCTTTTACAGTTAGTTCCACAGGTGAAAGACTTCATAGAGCACTACGGCCCTGCCTACAGCCCAAATGAGCTGCTGAGGATGGAGCTGACCATTCTGGACAAACTGCATTGGGACCTGTATCTTGCGACGCCACTGGACTTTTTGACTATAGTAAGCATGAGGGGTTTGCAGAATCTGCCTTTGGAACAGCTGTTCACACACTGGACGGCCAAGCACGTCCACGCACACGTTGTTGTACATGCGCCACACAGGGGGTGACCCACAAGGCTCATGACATACAGAAGGGGGAGACGTATCTCAAGTTCAACACCAGTCCATCAGACTCGCACTTGGAAAGGATACTGGGTTAACTTTACAAAAAAGTGTTTACAACGGCATGACTGTGGTTAATTTACTCTTTTGAATACTTGCTGCAAAAATATTGGACTTTGCATTCTAAGAATATTGTACATAAATATCTATCTTGCTCACTTTATACACACATTCACTTAGCTGTCTCGATTCACCTACACACAATCCTTACTGAGGCTTTAGACCATATTGATCTGGCACTTAAAAAAATAGCATTCATTAGTTTGTGTTTGTCGGAGTTGGGATGTGGGCATCATCTGTCAGGACAGGATTCTGTTAGTAAGGCAAAATTACTTGATGTGGCAATGTTGAGCGGTTTGGGCTGTTGGGAGGCTTGGAGATTCAATCATTAAGGGATGTTTCTTTTGAAAAATGGCCACTGTTGCCAAGTTAGAGTTTCTTCTCTCCAAGCTGATACAAGTAACTTTTCTGCTACTTTGAGCTTGATTAATGTGTCTTTTTGTTCAGAATGGAAACATTGTCAACTAGGTCCTTTTAAACTGATAAGGACCTTGTCCTACAATACACTCTGTCTCTCCAGAGTCGAAGCTCTGCTTGGCCACCCAGCGGGCATTAAGCCTCTTTCACTGGCCCCCCCAAGCCCCCCCGACTCCACTGCTCCCCTGCCCTGCCCACCTTGGTGGGGCCATGACTAAGAATAAACAGGGTTTGGTAACACCAGGTGCTCTCTGATGGGAAGTTCAATGGTTTGCACTTCTGGTCATTGACGTAGGAAAAGGAGGGGGTTTTTCCATTCTAAAGTTAAAAAATCCTGTTCTCCAGTTCCACGGCCTGATTGTCGTGAGCTGGCCCCAGGAGCAGATGCTGCAGCTTCAGAGGAATCCTTCCCTCCACGTCGCATCCCTGACCAAGCAGCTGCAGCACTGTATGGCGGGCCACCAGCTGCTGCAGTTCAAGGGCTCCACACTGGCCTTGGTCATCATCACCTTAGAGCTGGACAAGCTCATGCCCGACTGCTGCGCTCCTACATCTGATCTGCTGAAGAAAGCACAGGTAGACATCAACTTGGCCCTACACCAGGCTCAGAGCTGTGCCCCTCTGGCTGGCATGCTCTCCCATCCCATGGCACTCCATGGTTCTTTAGAACTCCAGACAGCTCTGCCAGGAGTCTCCCTGAGTTTTAGGCTTCCCACACCTGGCCATGGTCTATGGACTTAATGGACACAGGTTCCCTCCATTGAGCTGATGAGAGTGGGGCTCCCTAGTGGCAAGAGACTCTCTCCATGGGCAGCCCCGCATCCACGAGGATCCACAGTGGGGATACATTCTGCTTGGGAGGAAGCAGCTCTGAGTGTAGCACAGGAAGTGTTGACTCCAGACCCCAGTCACTTCCCATGAATGTATGTGCCAGGCACCAGGAATAACATGAGGCAGATTACAGGGGTGGAGGGCCAGAGGGCATGGGTTGCCAGCATCTCCCCCAGATGGATTCATTAGACTATAATGCATGGTAGAACTACTGACAGTTACTGAGGGGAAAGAGTTCCCCAAGGTTTGGGGGTGAGGCTAGTGTGCAGGGAGGGCAAGCAGGCCTTCCTTAGCTGGCTCTGTAGTCACACACTGGCACCCTGCTGTCCACTCCTCATGGCCTCAGAGGCTCCTGCCCAAGGCTGGCACTCTATTCCTACTCAGGTCAACATGGAGCAGTACATGTCCTGCAAGGAACTCGTCAGACAGCAGCTGAGGACTCTGTAGTCGCTCTCCTGTGCACATGCTTCCTGTTGCACCTGCCCCATCTCGCACCCACACAGCACAGCTCTGGGCTCCGTGAATCGCATAACTAGGAGGCAAGAAGGCCCTGGACAAGCACCTGAGGCAGTGTTCCTGGCTGAAATCTGAGGAACACCAGGGCCAGGGTGGCAGGGAAGGTCTGGTGCAACCCAAGTGTGGCTGCTAGAGCACACCCTAGCCTCCCCGTGTCTCAAAGGGCCCGAGCCTAGGGAGAACGAACGAACGAATGAATGCAGCCTCCAACTTCTCTGGCTTTTCTTTCCTCATCCGGTGAAGACTGCGACTGTCGCGCAGAGCTGGAAAAGGGGGCTGAAGTGGGGCCTGCCTTCTGCCTCCTGCTGACTCACCTCCCAGGCTTCTCCCAGACTCCTGTGCAGTGTTTCCAGGCCCACCCACCCTGGCTGTCACCCCAGAGATGGGGGTCTAAGCAGACACATCTGCCCTGAGTCAGTCAGGCCTCAGGTCTTCCTTCACAAGTACTGGGGATTAAAAAAAAAAAAAAAAGTACCGGGATTGGTGTGTGTTCCACTGACCATGCAGCCACTTTCTCTCAGGCAGGCAGGCCAAGTCACGGGTGTTAAGTCTAACTGGGGGACATCCTCTGCGATGCCCGGGAGCTGCTTGTCGGGGCAAGCAGGTGTGCACTGTGTTCCCAGGGGGAGGTTGCCCTGGCTGCGGGCGGAAGCCAGCTGCCTCTCTGAAGCCCTGGGCCCACAGAGCTGCCTCTGAGCAGTGGCCTGCAGCTGCCTCCGCCGCCAGCTGGGTTGTGAATGGCCGTGGGACCCAACTGGAGGTGCTTTGTGACATCCTCGCATTGCAGAGCTTGTCCTGCGGATATGTGGGCCAGGCTGGATGTGCACCCGGCCCAGCCGTCACCAGGCTGGGAGAGCCGGCTTCTAGAGTCAGCACACACCTCTGCCTTCCACTTTGGTTTGCTGGAGCTTCTGCAGAAATGACATAAAGCTGCTAGCAATGCCAACAGCATCTTCCCACACAAGGGCTCCTGTTGAGCTTAGCCTGGCTGGAGTGAACATCGTATACCATCAGCAGCCAAGCCCTAGTCCAGTGGCTGTGACAAGGGCTGGCTGCTCTGGTCCACAGCTCCCCGTGGTAGCCTCGACTGCCCTCTGGCACCTCCAGTCAGTCCTGAGGGCCCACTGGGGCCCAGGCTGCCTTGCCATGGGATGGGAGTGGGGATACGGTGTCCTCCAAAGCTGGGTGAGGACTTTGCCTTCCCGCCTCCCATAGGTGCAGCTGACCATTATCATCTTCACACTCTCCTCGAGCTCCCCAGACCTCAATTCCCACTGCCTCATTTTGCTTGTTTCTCTTCCTAATGCCTGGTAGACCAAGCTCAACAAATGGGTTCATGTACCCTCATTATGACTCCCTTCAACCACTGGCCTGTTCTTTAGCCCAACATGTTCCTGTCCCTGGGGGCTTCCCATCATGATGACACCATCTCAGCACTGCTAGGCCCTTCAACACTGCCACTTTCTGCTGTTCTTCCATCATTTCATCGGAGCCAGCCTGTAGCTCATCATTCAACAGTACAGACAGCCAAAATTCAGATCAGTTTCTCCAGAGACTCCCTGTACAACCTTGGCTCATGGCTTAACCTCTTTGTGCCTGAATGGTAACAGGGTCGCTGTGGGAGGAACAGTGGTATCTGAACATAGGATGATGAGGAGGATTAGAGGCATTGAAGCATGACACAGGAGAAGCAACTCTGTATCTGCCAGCCCATGCCAAGCCTCCTTGCAGGGCTGACCAGCACCTGGACCCACCAACATTCCTGAGCTCTGTGCTCACCTCGGCTCCTCACTGCAACTGCTCCTCCCGCCCTTCTCACACCCACGCATCCACCTTCTGCCCATGTCCACAGCAGCATACGCAATGCAAATGTGAAATCAACCCCCAAGAGGAGCACATAAGACAAGTTGCATTTTGATCGCAGCTGTAGCAGGTGAACAGGCTCAGGGTACTAGTTACGTCAGAAAAGCTATTGCCAAAACAAAAAGACACCATAAAAACTCAAAAGAAATGCCAAAATTTAATGGGGAAAAAAATGAGTACAAAGTGAATGGAAAGGAATAAAAATAGTGTACAAATGGAGGCATAAATGAATCAACAAATGAAGCCGGTTTAGAAAAGCATATTATCGTAACAGATGAGCAAGCCACATACCTTCTGGCCTCTGATCCAGTAACTCAGGCCCTGCTTCCTGGGAGGCACATGGACACACACAGACACACAACCACAGTCGGCACAGTCCTAAACCACCTAGACTCGGTTTGCCTTGGGGCTGGGGGCAGTTCTGCCCAGTCCATGCCTGCTACAGCACCTGGCACAGCGGTCAGCAGCACCCCTGGTGTCTCTCCCCAAAGTCCAGGAGGGGATGGTACATGACATGGTGACTCTGCCTCAAAGCAGCATGGTTCCTCAAAGACATGGGAGTACAGGCCAACCTGGTCCTCTATGATAGCTTTAGTAATGCCCACGAAAACCAGTACGAGCTAAGTGGCAGCCAGCAGGTGGGGCCCAGCATTCCATGACAGGCGGCTTGCTAAACAAAGGCCAATTGGAAACTCACCTTGTGAGTCAAAGATTACTTTGGTCTCAGTTGAAGAAGACAAAATTGTGGGTTCAGACAGCAGGGGAAAGGGTGTCACAAAGCACCTGTGGAGGTAGCCCAGACCCCCAGGGACACCCTGTCTTCCCCCAGAGAAGCAGGGAAGCCTTGGGCCCACAGACTATGGGGGCATGGGTGGCAGACTGCTCACTGTGGAGGTTCCCAGGGTGGCCCATGAGCCAGGGGTCCTGCTGCAGGGCACTGGGCCACCTCTCCTGACAGAGGCAGGACCCAATTATACATACATGCTCTGGCAAGGTGTGGCCCTCAGCAGGAGCTGCTGGCCACCATGTTTGCTTAGAGATGCGAACTCACGTTGGTCAGGAGCCACTCTGAGGCCCCACTCTTGGTCACAGCCAGAAGTAGACCGATTATGAAGCCAAGGAGGTGACGTCTTTAGGGCCCTCCCGAGGCCTGGCGCCTAACTCTACATCTGGCTTTCTTAAAGAAATCCTTTCAAAATAGTGCAGGCCTCCAGCCCCATAAAATCTGTATGCCCTCCCGGTCAGGGCATAGCACCTGGGGCTGCTCCCTGACAGCACCAGCAGAGCCTGCTCTGCTGAGGGTGAAGGAAGGCCCCAGCCCCTTCCTGGCTGCCCTCCGCCTCCCTTACATCGTCTGAGAAAGGCAGAACACCTGAGCATCCTGGGTAGCACTAGAGCAGACCAGTCAGAAGGGAGACAGAGCCGAGAGCTGGGGAGATAGGACGCATGGAAAACAGATAACCCAGTACTACATGGGCATGGCTGGGGGCTTCCCAGCAAGGGCATGTGGGAGACAGGGCCTGGCGCCAGGCTGTACCACCGTGAAAGGACTCCTTTCTTCCCAATTCCTCAGCATATCCCCCCTGTGCCTTCACTTGCAAACCAACAGGAGCACAGAGGATTCAATGCTACCAGTTCAAGTGTTACTTCCAATGTCCGTGGAAAACAGAACGAAAACGCGGTTATTTTGGTGCCAAACGAATCTTGCAATCCATGCACACGTCTTCTTCAAAAAAGGTTCACGAAATATATGCACCAGGAAAAACAAAAACTCTGCATGGATTTCAGTTTTTGCACCAAAGGTACAGCCATCTTTTCCAGCCCATATTTCCAAAGTCTCCCTGCCGCACCAGAGGACTTTCCACAAACGATGCTCTGCAGAGTCCTGCTGGAGTGGGAAGCTTGTTGACCACTCGCTCCTCCACCTCTCCAGCGTGGGACGGAGGAGCTGGTGGCTGGCAGGCCACAGTCCTGCCCCTCCCGGCACCTGCGCATGTGCAAAATGCAGGACTGGTCTGGGAACTCAAGTCAGACTCCCATACGGAACACATGCGTGGTGCGGGTGTCCCTGCTTACATGTGACACCTGCAGGGCACGCGGGCGGCGGCTGAGGGCTGCTGTTCCATTTACATTCACAGTGAAAATGTGGCCCAGGCTCCTGCCCTGGCTCCATTGTCATCCGGAAAGAAGTTCCCAACACTGTTGTTCTAGGACGTTTATTGCCCACCTCTCCCTGCTCGTTTACTGCAGGCGAGCAGGGTGCTTCATACACAAGGGAGGTTTAGAGGTGTAGTTTTAGTTTAAAAAATAACCAAGAAGTCTGGGTTACTTTATGAAAATAATGGAGAGGGTATTATTTGTCTTTATGCTGGTGCCCAAATGAAAAAAAGTGTAAGTGTTGGAAAGTTATTATAAAAATTAAGCTCGAGGTTAGAAAAATTCAAAGGAAGGGGAACAGGCAAAGTATGCAGCATGTCTACTGGGCCGGGTGGCTGTCCCAAGGGCCGCGCCACAAGCTGGACGCTCAGGCGGGACACTCCTGCTGGATGCTAGACGCATGCCCGGCACCGCCAGCTGGGGCCATGCCCGGCAGGCCCGTCACAGCTGCCTCAGGGGATAGTGACACTGTAAATGGAAGACCAGCCACTGGCTCTGAAAGAAATAAACCTTGTCAGTTTTGGATTCCAGCATTCATGGCTTTTCTGAGTTTGCATAGAGAAGGGCGGCCCGGGGCCCCCAAGCGAGGCTGTAAACACTGGCGTCTGTCCCGGCTCCCAGTCCATCCTCACACCGGGTTATGGGAGAAGGGCCACAGGGCGCAACGCAAGCAAATTAACGCATGACAGTCTAAAGTCCACCCTCAGCGCATAAGTCTGAATGTGCGTTAACTGAAAAATAAAAATCAAACAAACACAACGAAATGGACACGTTAAAAGGTATGCAGACCAAACCAAACTGAACAGGAGACAGTGAGACGGACACCAGGGACCGGGCAGGGCAGGCTCTTTGGCATGTGTGAGGAGCAAAGCAGAGAATTCACCGCAGCGGCATCCCGGGCTAGGGGTCAAGATCTGACTGTGAGGCAATTGGCAAAAGTGGATTAAAACATAAAGAGTAAAATATAACCAATCAAAGCTGCCCAAGGAAAGGATCATGAAAAAGACCTGTCATAACTCCCTCTAGCCTTGCAACACACTCCTGACCCAGCCCGTTCCCTGAACCAGGACAGCAGGAAGAGACACTCAGCCACCCCTGCCCCATTCCCCTCCTCACCCAACCCCTGGTCCCCCAAGGCCCGCAGAGAGCTTGCTCTTGTTCACCAAACTGACAGAAGCTCCGACAGGTGCAGCTAACATAACAGGCCTGAGGATGTGCCCCAGCCCCAAGCCCAGACACCTGGTCACAGCCCCCACTGAGGCTGCCCAGGGCAATGCCTCAGCCATCTCTTGCACCTGAAGGCCTGGCCCCACAGGCAGGGGGCAGAGTGGAGTCACTTTGGTGTGGGCACCTGGGTTATTAGCTTCCACCTGCCTCCTGGGAGAAATTTCTTTCTGAGCCACCAGCTTGAAACTCAACACCAGTTCCAGCCCAGCCCCCACACCTGCCAAGCCAGGAGCTGGACATGGCACTAGGACAGGAAGCAAAAGCAAAGCAGAGATGCATCCTGGAGCTGGGAAGGGCACAGAGCCAAGGTTCTCTCTGGGGAAGGGCAAAGCTTGCCTGTCCCAGCACAGCCAGCCAGTAGCAGGTGTACATCCACTGGGCACTGGGATGGGGAAACCAGGGAAGCTGAGGGTGTGCCTGGGGTGGACAGCATCTGATTACTGAATGCCTGGCCCTGCCTCTACCTTGCCGGTCTGGCCCAGGGAGGAGCCCCTCATACTTTATAGCCTATGTTTGTGTGTCTCTGTGCTCTGTGTGCTGACAGATGTGATGGGGCAGGAGTGACACCAGGTAGTTTGTGCACATACCTGCATGTGCATGTGTGTGCATGTGCCAGGTCATGCTAGGGAATGCAAAGAGGAATGTTATCAACGCCAGAAGCGGCATCCCAAGGCCTGCCAATGGCGCATTTCTCAGCCCACACCACTAGGCTCCGTTGCCACCAAGGATGGGCAGGCCTGGGCAGGAATTCACCCAAAGACTCCAGGAGGAAATGCAGCCTGAGAATGGAGGCCAGGAGGGGTGGGCCTGGCAGGAGAGGGTCAGCCAAGAACAGGGACAGGCAGGGAAGGACCAGATCCTCACAGTGCGACGTGGCTATGGCACAGGCTATGAAAGACATGTGAGGGACACAGGGATGGAGGGAGAGTGTGGAGCTAGGTAAGAAGGCCAAGGAGAAGGGATTCAGAGCTAACTATCCTCCCAGAGGGCGGGGCAAACCCTGCCACCCTGTGTTCCTCTCTGTCTGTAGTGACAAGCCCAGCCTGTGCCGGAAGCCAGCCTCCCATCCCTGCAAAAGCCAGAGCCCCTGCAAGGAGCCGCTGGCCTTCCTCCCAGCCAACAGGCCCTGCAGACCAGCTGCCCGGGGAGCACAGTGTCCCCAGCATGCTTGGTCACCACTTGTGGCCACTGCCTCACCATGGCTGTCCAGGCAATCACCACGGGACTTCTGGATCCCTGCCACACATGCGGGCTTTCCTAGGCCCTGGCTCTGGCCTGGCCGCAGCTCCTTCCCTGAGACCTGCAGCTCCAGTTAGAGCCCTTCCCTGCCTTGTATCCCAGAGCCCCAGCTGCTGCAGGGACACAGTGAGGTGAAGTAAAGGAGCGAGAAAGAGGAGGGCAGAGTGCATGGTCATCTGAGAGGCAGATGGTGACAGCACGATGACCAGGGAGGACCAAAGGGAAGAAAAAGGACAGTGAGCAAGACAGGGGCAGAAGGGTCAGTAGAAAATGGAAGAGCAAAACAAACTCCTGGGAGAAAGATTGAGAGAGAGAGAGAGAGAGGAGCAAGAGCAAAGCAGAAGCCAAGGGCATAGAGAGCAGCAGAGGGGGCCAGCGTGGGAGGGGGCCAGCTGGGCGGGAGCCGCCACCTACTTCTTCTTATCCTTGTCCTTGCGCAGGGGCTGCTGGGAGGTGGCCTGCAAGGCCTGTGACTGCAGGACCTCCAGCTTTCTGCGGCTGAAGGCGCTGCTCTCCTCCTCCAGCTCCCGGCGTTTCTCCTCTACCTTGCGCTTCTCCTCTTGGTGGATCCGCTTCAGGTGCTCGAACTTCTCGTGGAGCTGTGAACAGAAGGGGACGGGCGGGACCTCAGCGTGGGCTGGGAAGGCACCAGACCTGTCCCACCCCAACCCCCGTGCCCCCCTGGCCCCTCACTCCCGCACACACCTCCCTCTCCTTCTCCTTCAGCTCCAGCTCTGTCTCCTTCACTTTGTTGACGAACATCTGCCTCATCTCCTCCTCCTTCCTCTGCAGCTCGCTCAGGAACTCCTTCCTCTTGGCCTCATACGTCTCCTGTAGGCTACGGAGACCCAAACAGGAAAGGACGAGAGTCGGACTGTGGCAGAGGGAAGCAAGGTGGGGCCAGAGAACGGCCCTGCTCACGAGGGTCTTGCCCTGGCTCGCAACAACCCCCTACCCGCAACATGTGAGCCTTTAGCTGGATGCCTGCACGGTGCACCCGGCTGCGGCCCGAGCAGGCAGTCACCTGAAGGGCTGGCTGTCGCCGTCACTGTCCTGGAAGCCCATCTCCTCGAGCTTGCAGCGCCGGTAGAGCTCGTAGTGCCGGGTGTGGGTCTGCTCACGGAGGTCTTCCATGTTCACGCGGATCAGCATCTCCCGCAGTTTCACAAAATCACAGTGGTTCTCGTTCTCCACTGCAAGCCGAGGACATACAGGCGTGTTGGGGGGCAGCACCAGGGGAATGCAGGAGATAGCGGGCATGGAGGGGACCGAGTCCGGCACTCACCCTGCACCACGCCCCAGGGGTACTGCCGGGCACGCACCAACTTGTTGCCCACTTTCACTTCCTCGGTGCTGCCCACCACAGCAAAGGGCAGGTGCGCCTGGAAAGGGGCCCCATGTTCACAGGCTGACCAACAGGCCACACACACACCCATGCCCACTGCCCAGGGCCACAGAGCAGAGGCCAAACCTGGACAAAGGTCCTGGGGCTGGATGCTCACATAGCAGCTCTCCTCTGTAGAAGTGTCCGGGGACCTCCCAATAGGGAGGGACTCCTCTTTCCTGTGGCCCCAGACTACTCAGTGTTTCTTCCAGATGCAGGCCTCCCAGTGGATATCAGAGCTCCCTGAACAGACCCTGAGGGCCAAGATCTTTTACAGATTGCAAGCCTGGAGCCTGCTCACTCCTACAGGATCCTGCTCTGTGCCCCCTCTCAAATCCTGAGGGAGCCCCAGGGCTAGCCCTGTAGCTGATTCCTCCTGCTGCCGCCCACAGGACATGGGACTGACAGGCTCCTAATGCCCACCCGTCCATCCCACAGAAGCTAAGGGTGGACCCTAGAGTGTTTTCTGGAACCGTGTCTGAGATCTCTGCCAGCTCCCCAGCCCCTGAAGCCCGGTCGGACACTCACATTCATGACTGCATTGATCTCTGCGACAGCCTCGTCATCTGTGGGAAACTGGTAGATCTGGACCCCGTTGCTGACCAGCTCACCCATGATCTTGATCTTGAACTTGTGGAGCTCGCTCTTGGAGATGGTGTCAGCCTTGGCAATGATGGGGATGATGTTCACCTGCCAGGACAAAAGAAGGGACACAGCAGGTCACTGGTTTGAGCGATGACTCCCTGACAGTGGGTAACCCTGCCCAGGCCACATCCCTGGGAGAGGCAGGGAGCCAGAAAGCAGGTGCTCCAATGCCCAGTCCAATGCCAGCTTCTTCTGCACATTCAGCAGGGCTGGAGCCAGCAGGTGCAGCAGCTCCTGACAGCCATGGTTCCCTTCAGGCCATGATCTGGCCCCCACCCCAGGCCCCCTGGGCATACCCAACTTTAACCTAGAATGCTCTGGGAGCCTTAATTAACTGCAGGGGCCTGGAGAAGCATGGGCAGGGGGCCCAGCTCCCTACTGCACAGTAAGATAATCCACTTGCAGTCACCTCAGGAAGATCCCAGGATCTCCCAGGTCAAGGTTACCCTGAGAAATGTAACCTCCAATGAAATGTAGTCCCCAAGATGGGGAGAGTAGTCACAGGGTCTTGGGTAGGTGACTGTGCAGTCACTTGCTGTCCAAGACCATGGCCCTTCCTGACATCCTTGAGAAGCTGCCTCCTCTGTTCTTCCCATGCCCACTCAACTCCGGGACTTCGCTCCTCTCCCCAGAGAACTTAGGGGTGGGGATGGGAGACCCAGGAGGGATTTGTGCCAGGGAGAGGGGAACAGGGCATGGCAGGAGCAAGCACGTGGGGAGAAGAGAGGAAGCGAGCACAGGGGAGACCTAGGTGGAAAGCAGAAAAGGAAGTGAAGCCCGCAAGGCCAAAAGTGAAAACCAGCTCAGCTACCAGGAGAGACCCAGGGCCAGACTCAGCAGACAGAGAAAGAGCCCAGGGCAAGAGAGACCGCTGAAGCAACAGGCACAGCTGTGGGACAGAACACACAGGGGACCGGGTCCAGGAGGCTGTCCACAGGTTCCTGAGCAGCTCCCTGGGGGCTCTACGGGACAGAGGGATATGGGGGGACCCTAGGAACCAGGAGCACCCACACCTTGCTGTCCAGCTTCTTCATGGTCACCAGGTCCAGGGACTTGAGGGAGTGCCCGGTGGGTGTGATGAAGTACAGGCAGACATGGACCCTGGTGTCGTGGTAGTCGAAGAGAGAGCGGCGGATCTTGAGCTCCTCCTGCAGATAGCTTTCAAACTGCGCATCAATGTAGTCGACGATGGGCCTGTAACTACACATAGCTCCATCACCCGGGAGGCGGCCACACAGCTGGGTGGGCACCTGGGCTGTCCCTATAGGGGATCCCTTCCTTGGTACAGGCTGCTGACCCTTCCACCAATCCCTCTATGGAGGAGTGGGTCAGCAAGAGGGCAGCTAGAGGCCACAGAGCCTCTGAAACTCCCGGGGACACCCTCCCGTGCCTCCCTGGATTACGGGCCCTAGGCTGTTCCTACTGGGCCCTGCCCGCCTCGTGCCTCTCATCCTTGTTGATCTGGTCTCCGAAGCCCACAGCATCCACAATGGTCAGCTTGAGGTGCACGTTGCTCTCCTGCAGGTCGTAGGTCTGGGGCCTCAGGCGCACGCAGGCCTCGTGATGGCTGGCCTCCTCGGTCTCAAAGTTCGTGTTGAAGAGCGTGTTCATCAGGGTGGACTTGCCAATGCCGGTCTCCCCTGGGTGGCAGGGACGCAGGGGCAGAGGGGTGCCAAGGGCTGGGACCGAGACCTCCCTGGCACCCTCGCCCCACACAGCAGACAGGGCTGCTCCTCCCACCCTCCGCACCTCCTTTCACCCCACTCAAACCCTTCCCTGGGGAGAGTGAGTCATGGGGTTAGACCTGGAAGCCAGACACGGCTACATGAAACACAGAACACATCTTCAGGCAATGGGGGAGAGGGAGGACACCGTGGCTAGGAGATGCCACAGGACAGAGATCTGTGCTGGCCTCAAGAGGACCCAGCCACCAACCAGCACACAAAGCTTCCCCTGCAGGTCCCTCCTGCCTGGCCCATGGGGGTCCCAAGACCTGGAGGGCTGGGGCAAGGGGCAGTTTTCCCCGGGCAGTAGGGTTGCTCAGTCTTGCCAAGCCCCTGTGTTTGAGGCTGAAACAGTCAGGGAGCCCCCAGCACACAATGCTAGGAGCAGAAACAGGGTTTGCATTTTTAACACCAACAAACCAACAAACTGGCCAAACTAGCTATCACTGAGACAAACTCCCACAGCTCTCATGGCACCTACCTGGCCCGGCAGACACCACCCATCCCCTGACCCATGGTGTCAGGAGGCAAGGGCAGCAGCATATGGCCAGGCAACGTGCCACCTCCCACACAGCCAGTGGTGACACTCACCCACACAGAGGATGTTGAAGCTGAAGCCCTGAGTGACCGACTTGCTGACCAGCTGGTCCGGGAGGCTGTCGAAGCCCACATGGCCACCCAGCGAGAGGCTCCGGGGCTCTGGGTCCACATTCTGCCCAGAGAGAAGCCATGTCAGGCTGTGAGCCCATTGGAGAGGTAAGGCTGGCCCTGAGCTACACCAGCCCCATACTCCTGTGCAGACCCAGTGAGTCTCAAGATATACCTGGAATGCTCCAGAACTCCAACTACAGGTCAGGCTCCCATGAGGACAGCCAAAAAACCCCAGTGTCCCCACTGTCCCCCGTGGAAGAGGCCCTTTCTCCCCTGGGACAGACAGGAATGCCTGGGCTGGGGGTTCTGACACAGGTTGGTCCCAGAGTCTCTGGCTGCTACTGATAAGGGCCTAATCATCTTCCTCCTGAGGAGGAAACACCATGGGGTTTCTGGACATTCCCCCGCCCCCCAAAGATTGACTTATTTGAAAGTCTGAGTTACAGAGGGAGAAAGGAAGAATGCTAAGTCTTCTATCCACTGGTTCACTCCAGATTGCTGCAATGACTGGATCTAGGCTAGGAGGAAGCCAGGTGCTTCTTCCAGGTCTCCCATGGCGGTGGCAGGGGCCTAAACACTTGAGCTATGCTCCATCACTTTCCCCAAGCCTTAATAGGGAGCTAGATTAGAAATAGAGCAGCCAGGACATGAACTGGGGCCTGTAAGGGTTGCTGGCATTGCAAGCTGTGCTTTCTCAGCTACTCCATGATGCAGGCCCCAGCCCTCAGGTTAGAGTCTAAGAGGCACATAGCAGAGTATGTTGCTGTGGTAAACCCTGAAGTCCCTTCCCAGACTGGGCCCTATCATCCTGAACTCAACTCCTCCCATAACCATAGGGCTCACTCACCACCCAACACAGGGGAGACCTCTCACACCACGCCTCACGTAGGATGAGATCCCCAGACTCTAGCTCCTCCCACTTTCCCACACTCAGCCCAGCCCCAGCCAATTTGAAAGAGGGCGCCAGGCAAAAATCTGAGGGCCTGGCCTTGGCAAGCAGCCCTGAAAGAATGAGTCCATGGAGCCGGCCCACAACACTAAAAAAGAAACCAGGAGGACCTGAAGCAGATGGTCAAGGTCAGGCTCCAATTTGTGCAGCTAGTTTCTTGGGCTTTCCTGGGGATGGGGGAGAAATGGTGCCCTCCCAGGCCAGGTTCCCAGGCTCAGTCTTCCCCAGCACAGGCCCCGGGCAGCTCAGCACAGGGCAGTCACGCATCCTCCCTCTGCTCTGGCCACCAGTGGGGAAGAGCAAGGACAGCAGATGCAGTGTTGTCCCTGTCCATCCCGTCCACCACTGCAGAGAGAAGGAAGCAGCCTGGCCAAGGCCAGCCCAGGAACCAGAAGTCAGCCCAGGGGCAGCCCCTGTGCAGTTGTGAGTGCAGGCCCAATGGGCAGAGGGGCCCAGGAGCACACAGCACGCATGGTTCCTGCTCTGCGGGGGTGCCCACAGCCCTGGCTTAACTGTACACCCTTCTGTACCAGAGCCACTGGCACTAACCCAACCTTCCCTCTTCTGCTGCTGACACCCGCCCCTGCCAAGTGCAGCGCCGCATGGCGGACTCCTCAGTGTGTGTGTGTGTGTGTGTGGACCCCTGGGGCCCTCCCCAGGTCAGGAGTGCCTCTGAACCTGCTCCCTCTCCAAGGAACCTCTGTTCTAGAGCTGACCCTTTCTCCCTGTCCCCAGAATGTCATGACCCAATTAGCCCATTCAAGCCCAGGTCCTCTTAGGGCAGCAAACATGACTCCAAACAAGCCTGCCAGGGCAGCTTGCCGCAGTGTCAACAGCCCACTGGTCACGCCAAACCTCTGGGAGGCACCCCAGGCCTCTGGCAGCTGGGTTCCAGCCCAGCCCAGCCCTCAACTCTGCCCCTTTCCCAGGCTCTAGCTTCTCTCCGGCACCTGCTCTCACACCCTGCCCACTCACTGCAATGGCGCCAGTTCCTTATTCTCACATAGGCTGGTTCCCTACCTAGTCCACAGACTTCCATTCTACCCCCTCAACGTGACCAACAACATGCCATTAATGAGTGCCTGTGCACTGTCCTCCCTCACTGCAGCACTGGCTGTCGGCCGGGCCAACACAGGGCATCACGGTTCAGGCGGCCCCACCTGCTCCCGGAAGCCCAAGGATCCCATGGAGGACAAAACAGTCTGTTGAGACTGAGAATCTCCAAAACGTAAGGCGTGCTCTGCTTGCAGAGAAGGCGATGTGTTTATTCATCCTCCCTGTCCAAGGGTGACACCATCAGGATGCAGGCCAACTTCCTGTAGTCTGCCGCCAAAAGACACCAAGTCAGCAGTGTCTGGAAGCCATACACTCACACACTCACACTCCAACACAGAGGAGTTGCAGAGAAACAGCGGCAGTCCTATCCCTTCACACACGCTCATCTGCGCACTCACACACCGTTAACTGTTCTCATAGCCAGAGATCCCAACAGAAGTCCTGGGCGGGGCTCTCATCAGCCCACCTTTCCAGGTTCAGCAGCCCTGCCTGCCCTGCACGCACACAGCTCGGCTCTGCCTGTGGGGAGGCCAGGGAGGCCTTCAACCCCAGGGTGCTGCCCAGGCTGCCCTGTCAGCCCGGGGCCATGAGCCAGAGGTCAGAATTGCTCAGGAGCTTCAGGAACCTCAGAAAGGCTGTGAGTCAACAGTAAGCACAACACACACACTTGAAGATGTGCACACCCACACATTCAGTGAGCAGCCACGTACACACCCACTCTCCCACCCCACCGCCACCCCTCCCAGACACACAAGGGAGTGGCTGCCAGCCCTGACGGAGATGCTTCATGTCTGGCTCAGGACACAGGTTCTCCCTCCTGGCTTTCCTTGGGGGTGACTCACTAATGGCAATCCCCAGTGACATACGATTCAAGGTGCATCACGTACTCCAGGGTACCCGCCCCAGGTTCCCCTCTGGCCATCAGTCTGGCAGCATGCCGGCTGAAGCCAATCGGCACAAACTCACAACCTCTTCAGGCAGAGGCATATGAGCCAGGCCAAGTCTTCATGACCCTCCTGTGGCCATCAGGAGAGGCGGCCTAAAGCTGAGGCCCACTGGGAGAGGACGGGGGCGCTGAGAACGTGGCTGCACGAGCCTGGGATGACCTGGCCTGTGGCCTTCCCCGTGCCCCAGCCATACCTCCCAGGTGGACTGCGGTCAGCAAGGGCTTGCAAGGGAGCATCTCCGGGCTGCTATGGTCACTCTGGATGCAGAGGAACAGGGCAGTGTGAGGAGAGGGAACTGGGGGAGGCAGAGGACAGAACAGAGGTCAAGGCCAACCTCAGCACCCTGCAGGAGCCCCAACCATGCAGCCCAAGCCGAGCTGGGTTCAGGCAGGGACCTCAGGGTAGCTCAAGTCCCCTCTACCCCACCATTCTGTCCACTGCATCACTGGCCTTAGCAGGCTCCCTCGCACCCCTCATTCACTCAGCACCCAAAGAGACTCCCCCATGGGCCAGGCACTGAGACAGCCACCACGGAGGCTGTGAGAGCACCTGACCCTGGCTCAGCCCACAGCGAGTGCTAAAGGAGATCAGGCAAGCATCAAAGGGACAAGGACTGTGACAAACTCGCATCTCATTTACTCCATGCAGGAACCACCTGAGGTCAGCTTCTGCACGTTCGTTGTTGTGCAGTCCAATAGGCACCAGTGGCTGAGTTACTGTGTAAGACCACGCTCTCGAGAGGGCGAGGCCAGGATCTGAGGGCAGAGAGGACTATCGGACAGCCAAGACTGAGATGCTGCTGGGTGACAGGCAGCCCTGAGGTGGCCACTGATGGGTCCCCGAGGAAGAGGTGGGGACTGGGCAAGGGAGCGGTAAAGAAACCACACAGCAGTCTTCTGAACCCAGAGATGCAGATGTGCATGAAATGGCCTCATCTGTACCTGCTGGCAAACAATACAAACTGAGAAAACCTAAAACACTCACCTGGAGACGACCAAGTTCTGGCATGGGCAGAAGGCCTTGGCAGTGTGGGGTCCAGGCTTAGGAGGCAAGCAAGCGGAAGGGACACCGCACGCTGTTTGCGTCCTTGGGCCCCAGTGAGAGGGGACACTGCTGCCTCCAGCCCTTCCCAAACTGCCAGCTCCCATCAGACAAGGCGACTCTAAATACCTTCAATGTCCAGGACACAGAGCCAGAGCCAGCAGCCCTAAGTGCTCCACACCCATGGCGAGAATGCCTTGGGGCCACTCTCCAGTCACTCCCCCACGCCAGGCCCCAGGCTCCCCGGGTCATCTTTTTGTTGGCCCATCAGAGATAAGAACCAAAATAATCCCTGCCCGGGTGGACTGAGTCCTGCCATGCCCAGCTGACTGGTCAGAGGCAGGTAACAAGCACTAGGCCTTCCTCCGTCTGGGCCTCCAGAGTGGCTCTTGCTGCCAGCCGAGAGATGGAAAATGAGGTTGGATTTGGGGAGAATCCACATTGAACAGCTTGCCCACACACACAAACAGGCCTCCGTCCAGAAGGAACTGGAACTCTGCTGAGCGACTAAAGCAGTGGAGCCAGGGACCATGCGGGTGAACAAACAGCCCTGGGATCAGACCTCCCAAATGCGGCTGCTTGTTAGGAAGGGGGGGGGAGGGGAGACCCAGCCATGGCTGCAAGGGGCCCAGGATCCCAGTCAGCCACAGTGTTTTCCTGTGCCTTTGGCACGGGCTGCTTATCTCTCCCATGGTCCTCACAAGCTGGCGTGTCCTGGTGTCCCCAGGACAGCTGCAGCCCCGAGGGAGGACCATCCAGTCATGGAACAAGGGGATCAGAAGTCAGTATCACAGGGCGCCTTCTCCACCCATCTTCCTGGCGCAAAGCCCCCGGCCCTGGCTCGTTACTCCCAGCAGCCTGGACTTAAATAGCCAGAGCACAAGCCGCGGCCAGGACCTGTGGTCTCAGAAGCATGACTGTCCTGGAGGCCCAGAGGAATCCCAGGAATTTTCCCAGGGAAGGCTTTGGGCTCGATCCCGGGATTCCACAGCAAGCCACTAACCCCAGGTCAAAGGTTACGGGAAACAAGCAGAAGGATGCTTGCAGGAGGGTAGGAGGGTACGGGTGGGGAGGTTGCCCTCCGGAACCTGAGAGCAGGCTGTTCTGAGGGAGAGGGCCTAGGCCTCGTTAAGACAGTGCGGACAGCCAGAGCTCAGGTAATAGCAGCACAGGCCTGTCACGCCCCACCTCCTGCGACCCACAATTCGCAAAGCCAATGTAGGAGCGCCAGACCAGCCCTCTACTGACTCCCAACATACTGTTCTCTGGGTCACCTTCTCTCACCAAGTGACACTTTCTTCCCTCCTCTTCACACAGTAGGACTGCAGCTTATTTATTTGAGAATGCTGTCTTTAACACTTTTCCCATCAGAACCAGGTGTCCGCAAAGCCCAGGACACAGTTCCCGGGTACTGGAATCCACACCAGGACCTGGGATGCAGACACATACTTGGACTTGACTGTACCACCAGAGACAGAGTGAGCCACCCCACTGCAGGGTAGATAGGGTGGGCACTCAAGACCACAGAATGTACCAGAATCCCAGGCATCCCTATTTACTCACTTGGCTTGTGGACTCCAGTAGCAAACACCACTAGAAGGAGGGGCCAGTCTCTGCTTCATGATGGGGAGTGTCTGGGAAGGGGCTGTGGGCAACAGAGGCGGCTGTATCTCTCCACCATGCCATCAGGGATGCCCATGCTGGGACAGGCGGAGGAACTTGCGGCTGGTAGCATGGCAAGCTGAGACACAGGACCACACTGCCACTCTTCTGTGGCCTGCCCCCAACTCCCAAGCAGGGTAGCAGGCTTGAGCTGGGGAGTGGACTCCAAATCCACAGCCATTCCTAGACCCAGGCTCCAGCTGCCCCCTGCCCAGGCAGCCCTCAGGGTCACATGTGTCCCCCCACCCTCCTCTGGTGCTGGCCAGCTCACTCGGTCCCTAGGAGGGTGGCTGAGATTCACCTGGGCACCGGGTGCTCTGAGGAAGGAGACTTGTAACTCACTCCCATGATAAAAGGGGTGCCTGCAGCTGCTGCCAAGATGCTCCTTGTCTGGCCCTTCTCCTCTTGCCTGCTGTGGCACCTCCTATAATTCTTAGGGATGCAGGCAGCCCCAGGGAAGAAGGCAGAGTGTGCCCAGCTCTACAGCAAAGCCCACTTTGGGTGGTGTCCCTACCCCAGGCTGATGTGCCCGCCTCCTGGCTACATAATCCAACATGTGGCTGTCTGGCAAAGTGTGTGCCTTGGGGCCTTGCCTGGGGCTCTGGAGACCCAAGCTGGCCGTACTGGGAGCAGAAAGGCTGCAGAACTAATGGGGTGTGTGTGGGGGGGGTGGGGTGGTGCCTGCTTGGCAACCCAGGCCCTGAGCCCTGCCATCGCAAAGCCAGCTGCCTCCAGTGTCTGCACCCAGCCAGTTCGCGTGACACTATGGTAGTGACTACCCATTACACTCTCCATTGATCCCATCCTGGGGCTCCAAACTTAGCCCCACCCTCTGTTATCTCAGGGGTCCTGGGTGCTGGGGATTGGGCCTGGGGCCCACCCTGTCCTGGCCATAGACCACATCAGCTATGTCACTCATCACAGGTTGTTGGCAACAACAAGATAAGGGGCACAAAGAATCCAATGCCCTCCCTGCCACCAACGCCTCTGATGAGAGCCAGGCCCTGACCTCCCAGCCTCCTCCCCAGCATTGGGACTGTCTCCGTTTCCTGCTACGTGGCCAGCTCCCACCCTGCTCTGTTCTCCCACCCTGCTCTGTTCTCCTCTTCCTCCGGGTACCAGTTGTCTTGCCCCCCAGGGCTGTCAGGCCCAGAGAGCCGCGTGGCCATCTTGCTTGGCTCTCTCCTTCAGGATGGCTCAGCGAGGCAGTCCGTGGTCACTTCCCCACTATGCCCTGACAGAGGCCTTGGGTGCCCTGGGTGAGGTGCTGCCTCCCCCTGCCCTGCTGCGGGAGACGATGGGCACTGCCTGGGAACCTGCTTCTTGGGGAAGTGACAGATGGAGCTGGAGATAAGCAAAGCTGGGGGGGTACATGACTGGCTGGGAAGAGGGCCAAGCCGGAGGCTGCCCTGCAGCACGCTGCCTCCTCTGCCCTCGCAGCTTCAGTCTCCCTCCCTGGAGCCTGAGGGGAGCAAGGCTGGAGTGGGGAGGCAGAGTGGGGAGCCTCCGGGTTGGGGGTCCCGGCAAGGATGAGGGCAGACCACATCCCCAGAGGGCCGCTTCCCACCCCTCTACACGCAGGTGCGAGCCACAGGCCCTGCCGGAGCACTGAGCCAGGTCAGGAATGTGCGGGGTGTGCATCACACCTTGTGGGGAAACAACCCAGAACAGCTCCACCCCAGAGCACAGCACTGTGTCTGTGTGAGCCGCGGGTCGGCACGACCGCCAGCCTCTTCAGGGTGCTGACGCTTGAGCTGCTCACAGAAATACGGAAACCTACCACGCTCCATCACTACGTCACCAAATGTGCCACAGACCCTTTTCCAGAACAGACAAGTGTGGCTGTGCCAGCGGTGGAACAAGAAAGTCAGAAATGATTTTCCCAAGACGGCCAGCCAAGCAGGAGGCGAGAATGCAGTCCAGACCCTGAAATTCAGGTCGGGCTCTGCCTGAGCTCTCCACCCAGAGCGCGGCAAGTGTGGAAGGCACTAACAGTGGGGCCAGGTCTCCTGACCGCAGTGCTGTACCACTCCCCACCCTCCCCACTACCGGAGACGGCCCCTGCACAGAAACAGTCCCGGGGTAGACACAAAGGGCTGAGAGGCAGGTTCTTGCGCCCACACCCTGGCAGGTCAGGACCTCTCTGTAGACTGGGAGTGCCACACACTGGGGCACCCCTGCCTCCTATCACAGGATTGCCCACATACACGCCAGGGATCTTGCATTCCTCACTTGGACTCTCCCCACTGAACCCTCAACAGTAACCCCTGTGACATGGCAGTGCCCGCATCCCACCACACAGGTCAGAACCTTGAGGGTTACGTCACTTGCCCAAGGGCACACAGCCAACAGGTAGTAGCCGGCATGCATATTGGCTGGTCCGGTTCTGGTTTCTCCACATACCATTCCCACCTGCGGGATGAAACTGGCCACAGACAAGACCCGTGCATAATTTTCTGGTCAGTCAGGCACGCAGACACAACTAAGCAGCTCCAGCTCCAGCTGAGGGGAGGACTCAGGTCAGCCCCTGCGGGGAGGTCAGTCTCCCCTGGGTCCCACCTCTGACCCTGACTCCATTCCCTGACACACAGCCCCCCACCCGCGGCCAGGAACATACCAAGGGCAGGAAGTGGAAAGACCGCACCTCCTGCTTTAGCTATGCACACTTCCAAAGTAGAACAACAAATGTGTTTTCAGACGGGGGTGGGGGGGTGGGGGGATTTACATATATAAATCCAGGCGACAGTATTTATAGCATTAATTACATAAGTCCTGGCTCCCTTATTTAGCTCCAGAACTGATTCTTTATCAGTCACATATTCAGGATCCTCCCCCCCCAAGCCCCTGAGGCCTTTCTCCACTAAGGACCGACTGGGGCCTCACTTGCTGGCACGGGGACACACTGTCACAGTCCAGCCTCCCAGACACACCCAGACTCCAGAGGCACTGCGCACAACCCCCAGAAGGCCTCCTTCCAGAGCAGCGGGGCAGGAGGAATCACAAAATCCTCAGGAAGTTGGCAGTGGGCTGCCTGCGATCCAGGGAGACCCTGCAGGGACCACCAGGGACGTCAGCAGACACCTCCCCTCACCACCGCCCCCGCGCCCTCGACTGGGCTAGCTCAGGACCCGCTTGCTTTCCTGGGAATGGCTGCCGCAGATCAGACCACTGAGGCCTGGCATGCCCGGAGTCGCACCCAGGATCTGGATGCAGGCATGGAGGCGAATGCGAGGTCAGGGGAGAGATAGCAGGCCCAAGTTCCTCGGGATCCGAGCCTGGCACTGCCCTGAGCTGAGGGGGCCAGACCTGCCTGGGTGGCCAGGGCTGCCTCCTCAGCGACCGAGCCCATCCAGCAGCACCTGCGCGGCCAGGGAGCTCCCCAGCGGTGCAGTCAGGAGCGCCCCGGGCCACCGGGGTCAGGATGTCCCGCATCCTCCCGTGGCCTGAGGATTCCAGTCTGGTTTCACACGTGCCCGAAACCCCGCGGGTCTCTGCGTCTTTCCGTGAACTAGGTCTACAAGCCCGAGCCCGATGGGGCGACCCCAGCCTGGCGCCCCGCAGGCGCCCCCGCCCGCCGCCCGCTGACAGCACGCCGCAAGCCCCGGCCCTGCAGGGCGGCCTCCAGCGCCCCGCGGCCCTCACCGAGCAGCGTTCCAGGTCCGTGGCCGCCATGGCGAACGAGTGCCGGGGCGTCCGGGCTGGAACGAGCGCCGGAGCCGCGACGGGGACGAGCCGGCTGCGGGACGCGCTCCGCCCGGGCGGCTGCGGCTGAATGGATCCAATATGGCCACTTCCTGGAAACTCCCCTTGGCGGCAGCGGCGGGAGAAGCCACGGAGCCGCCCCCGCCTGCCCCCACCCCCCGCCCGCTGGGCCGGCCTCCCCGCCCGGCCTGGCCCCGAGCGAACGCAGCCCGGGACCCCGCCGCCCGGACGGCAGGGAGGGTCTCCACGCGGGGCCGGGGCGCCCACGGCGGGGCTGCTGGGACTTGTAGTCTGTGGGACCACCGTGCGCCGCTTGGCCCGCGGAGCCCTCGGCTGAGCTGGTGTGGGGCTGTCGGGGTCTGGCACCAGGGCGCACGCCGGCCGCTCCCTCCAGAGAACGAGCCCACACAATGGGCTGAGGGTCGGCGAGGCCGGGCCGAGAGAGGCCTCCTCCACCTCGTGCGTGTGTGAGCCGTGGGCCCCACCTGATGCTCTGGCCCAAGCCAGGGCGGGACTCGGGCGGGACCTGCACGTCCGGACCGGCAGCCTGCCCTGTGCGGGGGGCCAACCTTTGCGCCTTGCGCAAGGACCACGCAGGATGTGCGGTTGCCACCGGGTCTTGGGCAGCGGCAAGGTGAGCTAGACGCTAATGCTCCAGACCCAATGGAGGCCAAGAGGTGATGGGGCGTGAGTCCGGACTTGGCGGAGGGCCACGGCTCCCCGGGCACACATGTTCCCTCTACGGTATCACGACTCCACCGGAGCTCAGAACTCAGAAATTCAGAAGCTCAGAACTCAGAAGCCGAGGCCTCAGGAACTCCAGCTCCTTCTCAGTTCTGCCCACTCCAAAGCCAGGAAACCTGCGTCTTCTAACCCTTCTGTTGGGTACATAGCAAGGCTTGGTCCTCTCCTCCACTGGCCTCACTCCAGGCAGTGTATACCTCCCCCCGCACTGGCACCCACAGAATCTCCCTCAGGATGGACCCCTTCCCTGTGCTTCCTGGAGACTCCAGAAGACCAAAGCCTGGCTAGGTGCTCCTGGCTCTCATAGGGGCCCCCTCCCTGCTCCTGCCCTGGCTATGAGACACTTCCTTTCAGTCCCCAGCCCCTGGCTTGACCTCCCACCTCACCAGCTGCCCGCTCCTCTTTCCAAATGGCCTAGGAGTGCAGAAGGGCACCTGCCCCAGGCTTTCCAGACTGGAAGCCTACCTTCACCCCTTGCTAGCTTTCTAATCCTAGTTGGGCAGGTTAAACTGAGCTACACCTCCTTCTCCTTCTTAAAAAAAAAAAAAAGTAGTTATAGTACCTATGTCACAAGTTGAAATGAGATAAAGTAAGTACAGGCTTTAAGATGTAGTTCAGACAGTGCTTAATAAAGGGTCCCTCTCTGGACCCCAGGGCCTAATGTCAGAAGCCAGGACACTGTGTGTGGGCAGTCTGTATGGACTGGATCATTCTCCACCAGATCTGCTGTTTCCTTTTTGTTTTTCTGCAACCATCAAGAAGTTTCTCCCAGCTCCCTGGGATCCACCTAAACTATGTTTCTGAATATGATTCATTGATTTATTTCAAAGGCAAAGTGATTCAGAGAGGGAGAAACAGAATAGAGGGGAGAGGGAGGGAAGAAGAGAGAGAGAGATCAGCCACCCACTGGTTCACTCTCCAAGAAGCTGCAGCAGCCACTGCTGAGCCAGGATGAAGCCAGGAGCCAGGAATTGCATCCAGGTCCCCCAGTTGGGTGCTTGGGGCCCATGTACTTGAGCCATCCTCTGCTGCCTTCCCAGGCACATTAGCAGGAAGCTGGATCAGCAATGGAACAGCGGCTGATGCCATGGCTCAGCACACTAAGTGTCCACCTGTTGTGCACACATCCCACGGTGCAAGTTTGAGTCCTGGCTGTTCCATAGTCGAGTAACTGTGGGAATGCTGAGTTCCATACAGGAAAAAGGCTTCTGAACAAGCCCTTGGAGCTGTGGGCTGGCTAACAAGCACCCTTGCTCTCTTTGTAGTCCGGCCCCAACCTAGCCATCTGCACCGAAACACACTACACACACACACACCCAGCACCACCTGCAAGCTTTGGTCCAGGAAATGCTGCCCTCAAGGCATCTTGCTTGCCTTTACGCTTTATTATTTTTGTCACACAGAAGTTTAAAATTTTAAGTTTTGGGGGCCAGCACAATGGCCCCCAAATAAATCAACTAGCTAATCCTCCAGTTGCAAGCGCTGTCATCCCAAATGAGCACCAGTTTTTATCCCAGCTGCTCCATTCCCCATCTGACTCCCTGCGTATGGCCTAGAAGAGCAATGGTAGATGGCCCAAAGCCTTGGGACCCTGCACCTGCACCTGCACGGGAGAACCAGCCTGACTCCTGGCTTTGGACTGGTTTGGCTCTGGCTATTGTGGCCATTTAGGGAGTGAACCAGAAGACAGAAGATATTTCTGTTTCTCCTTCTGTATGCAAATCTGCATTTCCAGTAAAAATAAATCTTTTAAAGATTAAGTTTATTATCTTTGTAGTTTTCACCTTTACTTGTAAAAACAGAAGATTCTCTCTTAGCTCAAGTTCACACACATATTCGTTCATATTGCTTATAGTACTTTGGCAACACTGTCACCTTATGTGCATTTTGGGCTGGTTATTCCACCTTCCCCCACTGGTGTACAAAACAAATGGCATCCGCAGACTAAATTTTCGTGTGTGTGTGTAGGGATTTGGATTAAGTGCCATCTTTTGAGATTCAATTCCTCTGCTTCAGCAACATAGAAATTTCTTCCTCCTTCCCTGTTTCATTCCCTTCTAGCCAGAAAGGCAGAGAGAAGCAAGTACACTTGTCTACTGATTCCCTCCCGGGATGCCGGCAGCAATCAGGGCTGCGCCAGGCTGAAGCCAGCAGCCTGGGGTTCAGTTTGGATCTCGCACATGGCAGCAGGAACCCAAGTACTTGACCTGCCTCTGAGAGCCTGCTACCTCTCAGGGTGTATACTGGCAAGAAGCTGCCATCAGGAGCCAACACTGGTTGGCAACAGGACCCAGCAAGGTCCTCTAGCAGGGAGGTGGGCAGCTTAAAGAGCACCTTCGCACGGAGCCAAACACCCACTCAGCAATGTCCTGCTAACATCCCTGAGGCAAGTGGTCCAGGATTCACACAACTCTACACACAGCTTCCATCTTGCTGCTTGAACTGATGGCTCTGGCCACCCAGGTGCGATATACTGACTGCTGTATGCCAGAAAAGAAAGACAAACACAGACAAAATGAATAAACACTCTACACTCTCAACCAATGCTGGTGGCTGCCATGTGGCTCTTCTGCTGACATCCTGTTTGCCAGGCCTGGGAAATGGGGTCTTCCTTCTGTCTGTCAGGTGAAGCTAAAAATTCCCAACATGGTCCCTGAGGACGACAGATGTTAGCAGACAACAGCAATCCCTGCCAAGTACTCTTCTAGGTTGTTGATTCTGGTCCATGAAAAAATAAATGTTTCTAATACTTAACATTTTTGCTTATTTCTTGGGACATCAAAAAAAAAAAAAAAAGATAAGAAAACAAGTGTCTGTCTCCCAGCACTTGGATAACCCAGGGGCAGGCTCCTAGGGACACCACAGCCCCTACCACATGCTTGCACTTGAGTCCTGGCTACAGTCCTGAACCTGGCTTCCTGTGCGTGCAGACCCTGGGAAGCAGCAGGTGAGAGCTTCTGTGGCGGGGGCCCTGCCAGCTGTGTAGGAGACTGGGGTTGGATTCCTGGTTCCCGGCTTTGGCCTGGTCCAGCCCTAGCTGTTTGGGTATTTGGGGAGTGAACCAGCAAATGGAAGTGCTCTCTCTCAAGTCAATAAAGTAAAAGTAAGTAACTATATAAATAAGAAACAAATTAACCAGGGATAATTTCCTGGCCTGTTTGCCCCTTTAATTGAACAACTGCGTGGTTTTAGGAAAATGACATATGTGTGCTTTAACACAGAAAGGCTTGCACCAGCCGAATCCCCTCCCTCCGCCCCCAGGTCTAACCACTGTCACTTACCCAGCACACCCCAAGGCTTTTCCAGGCATATTTTCAGGAGGAAGATAATGGAGATATGTTACAAGAATTTGGACTATAATACAGATCCCATTTGCCTACGAAGTATTAAACGTAATTTTACTAGGCTATAAAAGAACAAAAAAGAAGCTGACGTGAAACTGAAGGGAGAGCTGAACTTCAAAGAATGTTCCTTGACCACAGGAGATTTTACTTCCTCAAAGATACCTCTGAGGTTAAGCAAACATTGTGAAAACTTTAAAAGGCTAGAGTCATTTTCTTTAACGACCTTCTCAATTATAAAGTGTGTATTGTGTTCAGTGCTTTGAAAAACCAGCAGGCATGCCTTTTTCCATTCCCTGACATGTGTCACGTATTGTTACATTGTCCCTGTGTGTAACAATCGCTGTCTTCTATAAACATAATTTCATAGTTACTTAGTGTTCCTTTCATATTAAAATGAATTCAGCTACCATTGATGTCTTTGCACAAAGGCCTTTGCGAGTTACTTCAATTCGTTTCTTGCTGGACTCTACTTCATGCTTCAGCTTTTTTTCCAAGAAGTGTTTCTGGAAGTGTGTCTTGTGTGGGTGTTTGCAGCATCAGTTCTTTTGCTGCTCGTGGCACCAATGTCCTATATTCCTGTGCTTGGTTGAATCCTGACTCTGCTCCTGACCCAGCTTCCTGCCAACACACCCCCCCAACACACCCCCGGAAGGCAACAGTAACGGCTCAGGTACTTGGGTCCCTGTCACACATGTGAAAGACCTGGATAAGTTCCAGGCTCATGGCTTTAGTCTGGCCCAGCTCTGGCTGTTGTAAGCATGTGGGGGAATGGAATGGATGGAAGATAAACCTCTCTTTTTCCGTTCTATCCCTTATCTGGAAGGAACATTGAGGGGAGGGAGGGAGAGAGAAAGAAGAAAGGGAAGGAAAAAAAAAGATAAAAAGAACAATGTCAGGTCTAGCGCAGTAGCGTAGAGGCTAAGAAAGTGCCGGATCCCATATGGGTGCCAGTTCTAATCCCAGCAGCCCTGCTTCCCTTCTGGCTCCCT